TTGGTGCTCTCATTGGTGGTCTCTTCCAAATCGCTGATTTGATCCTCTGATTTGATTATTTTATTCCTTGCAGTGTATTCTAGCTGTCATATATGTTTTTCTTCATTTCCAACTTACTCTTTTTTATCATTTCTATGCCCTCTTTCACACTGTTGAGCATCCTTATAACCATTACTTTGAATTGTGTATCTGATAAATTGCTTGCTCCATTTCATTTAGCTCCTTTTCTGGAGATTCTGCCTCTTCTATACTTGGGGCTTAGTCTTTGTCTCCCCATTTTGGCTGTTTCTTTGTGTTTGTTTCTATGTATTAGGTAAAACTGTCATGACTCAGTTGTCATGGTATGGTCTTATGTATTAGGTGTGCTGTAGGATCCAGTGGTGCAGTCTCCTTGATTGCCTGCACTGAGTGCTATACGAAGTCCCTTGTATGGTTTGCATGGGTCTTGATTGCTGTTGGCCCATCTGTGGGTGGGACTGATCATAAGGCTGGCTGGCTGTGAGGCTCAACTCTGACCATGGTGTGCGAGCTGGTGTGCAGGTGGTGGCAAAAGAAACAAAAATGAAAACAAAAAAAGCCCACAACAATAAATAAGAACAACAAAAAAAAGGTAAGAAAAAAGAAGAAAAAGTATACGAAAATAAAAGAGAAAAAATGAAAATGAAAAAATATAAAAGGAAATAAGGAATAAAGAATAAGAAATATGGAAAAGAGTAAGAAAAGAAAAACACAGAATAAGAAAAGGAAATGAAAAAGAAAAAAGAAGTAGAAAAGAAAAAGGCAAGAAAAAAATCAAAAAGAAAAAGGTGGAGTGTCGCCTCAGCAGCGTTTTGTGCCTGCTGCACCCTGGCACAAAGTTTGGATAGGCTGTTTGGAAGCTTGTTGGCTCCTGCTCCAATGTAGTGTGAAGTTGGCCACTTGGAATGCTGGTTCTGGGCCTCTTGGAAGGGAATCTGATGTAAGCCAATCACAGACGTTGCCTATGTCTGGCCTCCGACTGTTGGTTTGAAGCTACAAGTGATCCACATTTTGTGGCTGCCTCTGCTGGGCTTCGCTGTGCCCCAAGGCTGGCTTTTACCAGTGCAGGACCCAGGGGCAGGTCAGCAAATGCCTGAAGTCACCCAGGGATCTGCCTCCCCTGCCGTCCCCTCCGCCTGCCTCGGCTGCCAGCAGGCTGTTAGGCTAGTCACTAAAAAGGCTCATCACTGGAAGGGCCTCTTACGAGATTGGGAGGACGGGATGACTGGCTGTTCTGTGAGGTGCTGTTCAGAATCCAGGGAAGCTGGTGGGAGTGATTCCCGGCCCAGGGCCCTGTGTCTGAGGCTTTCCCCGATTTTTCCCCGACCTCGGCAGGGCAGGACACAATCCCAATGACTCGACCAGGTGGGGCCTCCAGAGTCCAGAGGTGGGGTCGGCCGGAAGCTAGGAGGATGCTCCTATCTGATCGCCCATGAGGGAGAAGCGCCAGTCAGGTTCACAGGAATGGGCGGGGGAAGGCGGCCCTGCCCCAAAGCCAGTCACCGACACTTGCTGTGTCTGCCCAGACTCCTACGCCCAGCCTATTCCGCTGACTCCTCGGCAAGGCTTCAGAGCCATAGAATGGGGATTGTTCTGCCCCAAAAAGATGACTGCTGTGGTGTCGGGGGACGACTTAGTACAGGGATCCTGGAGGCTTTCCCCCACGTCTCTCCCCAAAGCCACAAACCCCATATTCTCGCCAGGAGACTCTGGTCTGCACCACCAAAGCCTAGGGTGAGTGGCTGTAAACAAAATTTTGTATGTTGGTCCTCTAAGAGGGTGCCTTTGACTCCCATGGGCCCTGCCTCTCCTTGGCAGACAGAAGCCTCACTGCTTTTCACGGCGGGATGCTGTGTGGACACCTGTTCCTGGCACGGGTGCTCCGGGCTGGGGAGCCCGACCTGCGCTGGGCTCCACACATCTCAGGGAGCCTTCCCACAGCTCAGCTATCCCTCCTGAACCTCGGCCACGGTCCCCAGGAACGGGGCCAGCCCCTTTCACATGCCCACCTTTCCTACCAGGCCTGAGGTGGCTTCTTCTGCCTTTCTTGGTTATAGGTCTCCTCTTCAGATGGTCTTCAGTTGGCAATTCAGAAGGACTGTACAGTAGTTCCCATTTGGTTCTGGGAGGAGGTGAGAGTGACATCCACCAGGTTGAGACGCCTCACTCTTCCTCCTTTCCCTTAACAATTGATGATGCTGGATCCCAGCCTCTCTTAAGATGGATTTGAGAATTAGTTCTCCCATCTTCCCCAGCTAGGCATTCCCGATCAATAAACCTTTGCTTACTCCAAACTCTGATCTACTGAGTGTTTGTTCTGAAGCATCGGGAACACAAACCTTGGGCCTGTAACAGAACCAGTTCAGGAGGCAAAAACACTATTATCTTATTTAGTTCTCTATGTATTTAACAATTATCAAATTCAAATCCACCCCATATAATACATCATTTGCCCTCATTATAAATACTTAAATGTATGTGCTTATTGCAGGCTCTGAAGAATATCAAGAGCTCTAAAACATTTTAACCCATTGCATCATCAAATAAATGTATCAATAACCTTGCAACGTAAGCTGTTTAAGGGGAAAAAAAGCACTCTTTATAAAGTATAAATTCCAGTAATACTCTGCACAAATCATTCAGGTGTAAAGACAAAAAATACACCTGTTCAAAAGCAAATATTCCAAACTGACAAATGTTTCAAGAGAACAAAGTTTTATCCAAGAAGAGAAGCATTCGAAATCAGGTACTTCTCACTCACAGTCGTACACCAGGGCACTGCTACTTAAACAACAGATGACAGAGGGAGCAGAGCTGATGGCTTTACTGCAGTCAAGCTCTGAAGTCAACTAGAGTGTGGTTCGAATTCTTACCACTCACTAAATGTGCAATGTAGAGAAGTTACTAAACCCAACTTCCATGTTCTCATCTATAAAATGGAAATATTAATAGCACACATGGATTTAGGAAGATTAACTGCGGTCATACGAGCTCATAAGGCATGTTAGTGTGGTGCTATAGACTCACAATCCCTTAATAAATTTTATTATCATTATCATTATTTTATATTAACACAAAGTCCTACATGTGTTAGGAGAAAACAACAAAAATAATAAAGATCAGCACCAAGGATTCAATGTTCAATACAAAACATGAATTTGCAATACTCCTTCAGTGTCCAAAAAGGCAGGCCGCCTGGAGCAAACAGGTTCAAGACTGAGAGAACACACGGCACGGAAGCAGTGCTGGCTGGCGGCCAGACGCCACTGCAAAAGCTTCAACTAAACCCAAATGGCCTGTTTGCGAAGGCACAGACTCGCCTCTCCAGCCCTCCGTTTGGAAGCAGGAGGTGGGCCACGATCTGCCCTGCAGGCCTCTAGCAGCCACCTTCCCTCCGCAGCCAGAGCAGGTCCTGGCCAGCTGGAGCTGCACACCAGCTGGGGCGGGGGGCCAGCGAGCCCTGGGCCGTGAGGAGCCCAGGGTTCCTGGTTCATCCGAACATGGTGTTTGAGGTCCTGCTCTGTGCTCATCAAACATGCTTACACGTCAGCATCAAAATGGAGGCCCACTGTTCTGGACCAGTGGCAACCTAGAGAAATGGTGACAACTCATCCAGCTGGCTAGCAAAGGGAAGCAGTAGGGGCTGGGGACCTCCATCAGAGGCCCTGACAGTTCAGTCACTGGAGCTGAGGAGCATGATTCCTTTATCTGTCCCTATTTTAAAGCAGGCGCCTCCTCTAAGAATGTGACTTCTCCATTTTGTGGCAGAACTGGAACAAAATCCAGCTCCTAAACTGGTAAGAGGCCTCTGGGAAAACAAACTGGTACCTGAGATTACATTCCCTCATCTGTAAACCACAGCTCCTAACATTAGCCCTGTCCATCCCGCCGGTCGGCTGTGGAGACCCAACAATGATATTGACTTAGGTTCAAGAACGCAGTTTTCTAAGGGTGTTCTCATGCTATCTTCACGGGTCCCAAAGGCTAACAATGATATCTATAACCGTGTCATTTCCCTTTGTCAATTTGCTCTTAGCACAGGGCCAGCCAAAACCCAGAGAACAATGTCAACATTCTAATTCAAAACAGGAAACCTAGCAGTTTGTCAATAAAGGAGAGTCAGCAGACCCAGGTCGCTATTTAATCCTGCAGGAGATAAAGAGGGTACTTCTTCAAAGGACTATTCTTCTTGGAGCACCCTGATGTCTCTCCTGCAGGACTGATGGGACGATAGGACAGTTAGGAAATAAAGAAAGGGAAAGGACAGTCAAGTAAGGAAAAAGGTCTTCCACTGAATAGTCTCAGGCTCCGGGACCAAGAGTCAAAGCCTTACAGAGCTCTGGAAGCCCTGGTCAACAATCCTTACGAAAGCCACTGTGTACACCCACAGCAATTCTTCCTTTCCCTTTTCATGCCTTCTTCTTTCAATACGTCTGCCCTGGGCACCTGCTAAGTCCTAGACACTGGTAACATTATTGAGAGGAAAAAAAAACAATCTTCTTCATGGGGTTTAGAGTTTCATGGTGGGGACAAATTAAGTCCTACACCTAGCATCACAAGACAGGTACCCACTCATCTGACCAGCCAGGATCAAGATGGCCCTCCAGCCAGGAAGCAGCTGCCGCCTGCACAGCCAGCAGGGCACAGCTCCTAGTGAGGGCGCCAGACACGGACCACGCACACACGGGGACTCTCCAGCGGCAACAGAAGCCACATCGCCCATCAGGAAGGGGGCAGACGCAGGAGGAGGGTGTAATTACCGACCAATCACCCACACTCCAGGCAGGCAAAACATGCTGTCTTCTAGCTGTTTGTATATCATTAGAGAGAAATTACGAAGTCATTAGGAAGCAACTAAATAATGTGCATGTTGTCATGACAAGGATGCAGGCTGCCAGAGCCTGCCTGCGCAGAGCCTGCCTGCACCCTGCCCCGTCCTAGGGAGCAATGCGGTAGAGAGCGTGGAGGAGGCATGGCCTTACCAGTTGTCTTCCCCTTGTAGAAGATCTTCATGTCCATCAGCCCCGTGAGCTGACTCGCCAGAAGCGTCACATGGGATCCGCTGTGTTTGGAAGCTCGGAATATGCTGAGCTGTGACCAGTCATCCCAGTAGATTTCATTCTAAAAAGAAAACCTTTCCCTTTAGTCCAGCTCCTCAGTCCTTAATTCTGGGCCCTCAGGAAGAATCAGAGCACTGTCATGCAGTGGACGCCCGGAAGGCACTGGCCAAATGGTCAGCCCCATCAAGACTCCGCTTAAATGCGAGAGTCAGCAATTTTATCCAGACCTCACCGAGTACCCGCAGTGGTGGAACTGCCCCAAAGAAACTATCTGATAAGCATTCAAGCTGGACCACAAGCCCAACCACTCAGTTTGAAATCTGCTTCTCAATGTGGGGAAGAACGTTTTGCTCTCTAACACCAAAGCGGAAGGGGCCAGCCACAAGGAAGGTTCAGGGCTCACCTGAAGCCATCAGGGAGCAAAGTGAGCGGGGCCAAAACAAGCCTGCCAGCCTGAAGGGGACCTGCACCTGAGAGGCCTCGCCTCACAGCATTCGAAACGTGAACGGTAAGTGCCCCGGGCTCTGGCGCCACTCACCTGGCGTCCCTCCACACAGCTGACGGGCACTGCCTCAAATGCTGCGGCGGACTATTTTCTAGAAGTCAGGCAAGCGGCTGTGCAGAACCTCAGAGGGAGGAGGCCCTTCACCTCGGCGGGCTCTTTGCCCGCGCGGACAGGCTGCCCCACCTGGGAGCTGAGAGGCCTACCTTGAAGACTGCGATGGCATAGGGGTGCGGGAGATTGTCCAGGACGATGGAGCGCTGCTGACCACTGAAAGTGACCCGCTCAATGCAGTCCAGGTAGGCGTCTGTCCAATAGATCCACTGGTCATCCACAGTAATGCCGTTGGGCCACTTCACATCCTCTGACACAAGACAGTGGACAGCAGAACCATCCATGTTGCTCCGATAAATACCAGGCTTCAGGTCTCCCCAGTCGGTCCAGAACATCACCCTGGTCAGGAAGAGGAAGCACACGCTTCACACCAGAACTAGTGGAACGGGAGCTCGAGTTCTGCCCCAGAGAGGCAGAGCCCCTCCAGAACAGCCCGCTGGTTATTTCAGCACAGGTATTATAGTGTGCAAACACAACACTTAACACCATTTAACTCCTCGACCCAAAAACTCCTTTATTGGAATTTATCTACAGAGGTGATCAAGTTATGCAAAGATAACATAGAAAGATGATCGTCACTGCAAAGAAAGACTGTTCATACTAACAAAAACATATATTTTTAAATAAAATATGTATGTATATTTGTGTGTGTATGTTAACTTAACCTATAGAAAAAGTGATACATTATGGTACAGACAAAAGAATATAATGAAGCCTAAAATGCATATGTGCTTATATGAAACAATATTCAAAACATTAAATTTTTTACTATGTCCAGTCTAGTACGTACCTTATTACTCTATTTGACATAAAGGCATATGTGTCTGGGTGTTTTAAAGATATATACTCGTACATGGGTTAAAATAAATTCTGAATGGGACATAAGAAACTATTAACCCTGGGAAATGTGAGGTGAAGAGTTAACAGTGAGAAAGGAGGAAACAAATATTGTTCATTTCATAAGCTTATGTTTGCTTTTAACATTTTAAAGCAAGTGCATTCATTACTTTCAGTGTTTTCTTTTATTATTAAAAACAGATCTGATTCTCAATTATAAATATTATAGGAAAGGGTAGAAAGGCTACCCCAGAACTTCCCTCTCAGTTACGTTCCCTGGCGCTAAGGAAGCAGGAACGCACCTCTGCAACCCCATGAGCGCGTGCAGTGCCAGGGAGGAAGCGGCCGGAGCTGCGGGCGGGGCGAGGGGTGAACTGGATGCTAGTTCCACGCAAGAAACTCAAGGCACAGAAGCCCCAGAATATGTGATCAGGCCTAACTATGTCTACAGGGTAACTTTTCATGCTGCCTTTTGTTGGAGAAAAACCCCACAGATGTGAGACATCTGGATGCCTAGAGATTCTGAGTCTTGCTAATGAAAAGGCACCTGACAAAGGCTATGGTTTCAAAGCTTCGTTAACAGACTATTTCAGCCACAATCCTGAGAAACAGGGCTATTGTCCAGCCTGTGTACCCCACGAGGAACCAGCCGCTGCAGCCTTTGGCACACGCCCACCCCGGCTGGGGCCCCACCTACCCCTCCTGGGGCACGAGGACCAGAGCCCTGGGCCGATCGAGCACAGAGGAGTTGACGACCGTGAGCCGGAAGTCGCCGTCTGGATGAGCCACCTGACAGAAAAAGCAACAGGAAAAAAGCCCAGATGCATCAATGCTCCTTAAGTCTCCTCGGCTCCGCCCACAGACACGCCCCGCGAGGGACCGGAAGCCCCGCCCCTTTTCCGTTAGGCAGGGCTGCCTGCGCCTCCGGCACACGTGACCCCTCCCCCAGGGTCTGCCAGGTCCAGCACCCCCTGCGCCCCGGTTCCCGGGCGTGAGGAGCCGCACGCAGCCCTCGACGGGCTTCCTTCCTTGACCCGCCCGTGTCCCTCCTCCACGCGCCCGTCACCGACGGTCCACCCGGTCCCCAGAACACATTCTCAGTGCCCCAGCCCTGCCGTCAGGCATCTGCGCAGTCTCGGCCCACCTTCTCTCTCCTCCATTTCCGTTCCTAGGGCTTCAGCAAGACGTGTGTCCTCGCAGTGTTCTAAGCCCAACTGCTCCTGCCGTACCACCCCCCCACCCCGGGCCTGTCCCCTGCTCTCTAGTCTATTCCTGCCTTTCCTTCCAAACTCACCTGCAGGCCTTCCTCCTCCGCCCCGCACTGGGCAATGAGCATCTCTAGTTTGCACCACTCAGCACCAGGAGCACTGAGTTGCGCACTGGCCCCCATCTTGCCTGTGTCCTTGTAGCCCAGCAGAGCACAGGCGAGAGAAAGCAGAGAGAGAGGCTCGTGCCAAGGCCCACGGCCCGCTCGGTGCGCGCCCAGCGCTCCGCGCCTCTCCCCGTCCTCTCCTCTGACCGCCCCGCGACTGAGCACCACCCTGCCGTCGGTCGGGGGTCAGCTCGGGGTCACACCTTCAAGGCGCCTCCCTGCCTGCCACTTCCAAGGCTGTCCCACGGCCCCACCCCGGGGTCGGTCACACTGCCCGGACTGGCATTCTCTGCAGCACTAAAGTTCCACCAATGGAACTGACTGGTTTCTTCATTATTCTGCTTCTCCACTAAAAATCTGTCTATCAGAACCCATGTGCCTTGCCTACTGTATGCTGTCACAACGTACAGCTGTGCCTGGCACATGTCACGCCCTCCCGAAGCACCTGTGAAATGACATCCTCTTACAGAGGAAGGAACTGAAGCCCAAGTCGCTCAGCTACGGGAACGCAGACAGAACCCGGGCCCGCCTCTCACGTCCGGCCTTCTGTCCTGCCACTTCGCCTGCTCTCCACGTCCACCTGCTTCTCCCGGGCCCCCCACGGCCCCCCGCCGGCCCCCCGCCAGCCCCGCAGAGAGCCCGTGCGCGAGTCCCCCAGCAGAGTCCCAGGCCTCGGCAGGGACCGACCTGGCGGTCAGAGGCCATTTCCCACCTTCGTGTTGCCTTGGGAGCTAAGCTGCAGAGAGAAGAGGTGAGGAAAAGAGGAGCAGCTGCCTCCGTGGGCTGCCATGCGGACGAGTCAAACCATCCCTGTGCCCTCCTCCTCATCACTAGGGATGGCGATGGTCATCGTGACCCTGCCATTATTGCTCCGGTCGGCTACAGCACTGTGACAGTTCTGGAGGGCAGCATTATAACAATGCTGTGGTGTTGCTACTGTCACCGTTGTTTCTACCTTATGTTTTTTCTGGCCAAAATATAAACTGCCAGGTACCCTCATGAAATATGACAGGTCCCACATCCTGTTCCCATGGAGGACTGTTGTGGGCGAGCGCGCCCTTCCACCTTCTCCAGAGGCGCTGGGGCTCCTCCTCTGGACTCTCTGAGACGCTGCAGGGTCCTGTGACACACTGGCTCCCGGCTCGGTGCCTAATCGGGCTCGAAGCCCAGGGGCGCCCCACGTGCTGCGTTAAGGACACGGAACACACATACCTCAATCTTTTTAAAGCCAGCATCCACCCAGTAAAGTAACTGGCTGAGGGGCTCAAAGGCCAAGGCTTCTACCGTCTCCAGGCCGGAACTGATGATCACCTCTTGCCCGGTGCTCCCATTCAAACAGAGGCGCTGAGGAGGGAAAAGGAAAGCTTCTATGAAATGCTCAGACAGCCACCTGCCAGGTCAGCCCCTTGCACGGTGACCCGCATTCGACCGGCTTGACTGGCAAGGGGTGAGAGGTTTTGCATCAGTAAACACTGCTGATGAATAAAGCCAGTTTTTAATGAGGGCATTTCTAAAATGCATCACAACTTCCAGTTTGAGGCAGAGTAGCTGAACAGAACGTAGCCATGGAGGTCGGCCTGCGCCATTGTGAACACTGAGCGCTGGGCCAGGCCGTATCACAATAGCACAGCTGGAGGCACCCAAGGAGCACCAGCCTGTTTGCTTTTAAAATAAAACCAGGTTGGTGGTGTTTTTAAGCTCTTCTGTCTGCTTTTTAGAGTCCACCTCCCGAGGGGCTCCTGGCCATCGGGCACTATTGCTGGGACAGCCGAACTCAGCAGTTGCCCTATCCTCCATGCCTGCCCTTTAATACCCAAGCACTGGAACATGCTGTTGGGTTGGATGTCCAGACAAAGCTGGATGAAACGGCTTTTCTAAAAGGATGAAGGACTCGGTAGCTCTCCTTTCCAAGGCACGGGTTAAGCGTGGATGGCTGTCTATCTGGCCTGTGCGAGGTCTTCGCAGCCCACTTCCTGGTTCTCGACTGTGGTCAGCACAGCTAAAGTGGATAATGACATAAACTCCACGTAAGTCAAGCGTGACTATATCAAAGCTGGGAAGAAGGATGCTAGAGGCATGTGGTACAACAGGAAATGACTAAAAATTCAACACTGCTAGTCCTAAAATCTTCCCAGCAAGACTTTCCAGTCGTTTACAAGCAGGACTGCAGATTCAGGGCTCCCTTTGTCCTTCCTACAAGGACAGAGGTAGGCAGGGAAGAAAAATATCAAAACAGAAAACTGAAATGTTTCTTCAGTCGGCCTTGAGATGAATCACGACATAAAGCTTCTATCCCTCACTCCCGGAGGCCGTTCTGAAAGAAGTTTACCTTGCCTGAACAGCTGCAAGGCACAGCCCCCAGGGCCGGGCCAAGGGCTGACTCACCTGGATGATATCCAAGGCCAGGTCGGACCAATACAAGCAGTTGTGCTCATAGTCAAAGTCCAGCGCCACTGCTGCCCGCAACCCAGTGAGAGGCAGCTGCTCGGTGGCTCCTGAGGCCAAGTCGTAGCGGTGGATGGACTTGCGCGTGGCGTACAGGATGAACTCGTTCTCCTCTGCACAGACCCACAGGGGAGCAGGAAGGTGAGCCCAGGTGTGCTGAAGACCTCTCGGCGGGCCTGGCCGGCTTCTCTCCTCACCCACAGAGCCATGGGCACATGGTGCGGGTCAAGTGAAAGAACACACGGATCCAGACATACAAGGCGTGTAACAGAATGACATTTCCGCCTTGGGCGAGTTACCTAAACTCCTGCAAATCTTAAATGGATTTCTCGTCCACAAAGCACCTTCCTTGTTACTTCTCTTTTTTTAATCTATCTCCTGCAGTAGGCACGCTCCCACATGCGAACACCGAAGCTCAGCCCCGAAGTCACTCATCACACTGAACAGAATAATGACACCGGCAGCACGCTGTCCTCGTCACAGGACTATGCCGCGTGTCCCATCATCTCCTGGACTGGAGACCACTAGTCACTGAAGAGTGCAGCTATGTTTTCTAATCAATTTGCCCACCTGTTAAATACTGTTCACAACAGCATATGGCAATTATTATCAACCTATATATTTTTAAAATAATAATAATGCACTGGTTCTTGACTACTGACAAAACATTTTACAACATAATCATCATGAAGACTATTTCTACTAAGCAAATACTTATACACACTGTACATACTACGTAGCAGGCATTATTTAATCCACATAACAACTGTATAATGAAAGAACTTCTATTAACACAACCTCACCAATAAGAAAACTGAAAGCAGAGAGGTTATGTGACTCACTCAGGGACACACAACTAGTAAGTGGCAGAACCAAGCCTGGAACCCAGGCAGTCTGGATCTGCAGTCTCCACCATGACCACTACATAGGGATTATGATGTAGGGATAGTGTTGCCATTTTTTTAGAGAAACAGAAGCCCAGAAATCCTAAAGAGATTTACTTAATGTCAGATGGGTAATCAAAGACTAGTGCTCTCTCTCTTCCTCAGGGAACAGCCTGGAAAACATCAGATTCTTCCAAGGGGGTGGAGGTGAGCAACACGCTCACACCTGAGCGTCCACTTGACAATATGCTGCATGTGGGGCCAGGTGCAAACGAGAGTCCCTCTGCCGTTTGCACCATTACTGCCGTTCTCCCCTTCTCTCATTCCAGTCACTCAATGAGTTGACAAGCACAAGCCATGAGCCACAGCTTTAGAAAGGCTGGATAATGCACCAAAAAGCAAATCTACCTACAACTCTTCATAAAGGTTGCCTTCTTGTCCTCTGGTCTCACTTTACTTCAAAAGCATGTAAGCCACCACCACGTGGTAACTAACTTCTCCTTCCCATTTAAGTCCTCGCAAAGGGACTGTCAGGATGGAAACTGCCCAAGGCTGCCACTGACGCCGGGGCCCTGGCCCCATCACTGAGCCGCGAGCCGTTCACTCCTGCACTCCCTGACACCTGTGCAAGCTCATCCTCTTGCTCTGGGTCTTCCTTCCGACGAACGCCTGTGCGGTGGCGCTGAGGCCAGGACACTGCCTTAGGGCTGGTCCTAGAAAGGAGCAGGCACCACTCCCGTGTGCAATATCGGTGCCTAACTTAGGAGAGGAGCAGGGTTCTTGGCCAGTCCAGCCATATGTGAGCACAGCGTAGAAGTCTATGCTATTACAGTGATCATCAAGGAAAACACAGCTTCATTTTTAAAGGCCCTTCCAGATGCCCTGATTGCCTCATCTTTGCAAAGATGTTGAGGTTTCCATCAGTCCTAGGACCGTTCCCTTTGTTAGTACATCCCTGCCTCAGTTCCATACATTAAGGAAAAAAAAAACACAAAAAAACACTAAGGAGGTGGCCTATACCACAAAAAAGATTTTTCCACTTCATTCCATGATTTATCCTCTCCTCTCTCAGAAGAGAAAATATCTTTATTAGTTTAATCGGCCCTAAATAAACTCTTTTGTCCCCTGCTGAGCTATCTTCAAAATACTCATTACAAACGTAGGTGCTCCAGCTCCTGGGAGCTGCACTCACACCCACGAGCCCAAGCCCTCTGACCGGCGGCAGGGCTTCTCGGGAGCCTCTGCATACCGCTGCTCGCCCGTGAGGGCCGTCTGAGCCACGCTCCCCCTCAGTCTCCACAGTGAGGCCTGCTAATTACTCCAGTAAAGCTGGAAGATTAAATTCAGGGACTAATGAGCTAAGCATGAAAACCCCGGGGCCAGCTGGTAGCCTGCGAGCACGGGCAAGACGCTGCTCCAGGCGCACTCAGCAGGGGCAGCCGCACCCCTCACGCGGCTTCCCGAGACGGGGGAGCAGCAGGAAGGGCCCAGCGGGACGAGGGTGCTACTGAAGAACCACTCGCAACGGAGTGAAGGAAAAAAGGTGGCTGAGAGATTAACTCTTTGTTAAGGGGTCGTAATTCCATGTGCATGTCAAGCACTTCCTGTACCATCACCACTTACTCAACTAAAACACAGGCTTCGGAACGCACCTCAGCACCAGCACACACTCCAGAGGCGGTCCCTGATCAGCCTGCGTACTGATCACCTACGATGACGGGCATGGCATCCATCTGCCCCTACAGCCACATCCAGGTGGGGGCATGGCTTTGTCACTTACCACGTGTGTGACCTTAAAAGAGCCACCCAACCCCTCCTCGGAGCACACTCCCTCGTATTTTAAAAACAACGGAGCTAATAATATGTTTCAGGAATTAAAATAACAACGCATGGAAAAGTACATTAAAATGTGCAAAATCCCATTAAAATATTACTGATAACTATTATGATAAAAATTGACATAGACGGCTTAGCCACGTCCCCAAAAACCCCAAGTCTCTTTATGTTCGCCTCCAACAAGCAGACCCAGAAGCACAGAGGGGGCCTGTGGGCTCCGCTCGCCCGTCGCCGGGCCACCACGGGCACCACGCTGCGCTTCTCAACGAACGTGGGGGCGTCCTCCAAAAACGGTTCTCTCTCCTATAAAGGTGCAAGGCTGCAAATACATTTAGTTTGAATCCCACGTTTGGGGAGCTCTGACATGCTTGTAACTCCCATCCTTTTCCCTCCACTAAGTTAGAAGAACCACGAGACTGGGCCCAGGTGAGAAGACAATCATGTTCCAGGGACGGCTCTTGGGGTCAACAGGAGGAACCGCCTCTTACCTGCCAAGGGACACGGGACCAGTTCTCCCTCCAGTCGCGCTTCCACATCTCCTCCGCTACAAGTGTCTCCAGAAATCTTCCGATAGCTGTTACCCCCACACCCCAAAAACAAGAGGTCAGACACATCAAAGAACAGTCCTAAAGGCTTTGGGATTGGGAACATACTTCCTAAAAGCTTTGGGACTACAACACACTTCCTGTCCAGCACGAAAGGTCCAGCTACTCACTTCCCTGTAGAACAGGAGGCAGGGTGCCTAACCAGCCGCGTCAGCTGTGCTGGTGATGAGGCTGGGCAGCTCTGACAAACTGGAGAGCTGTCCTCGTAAGAGTTTTACATGTATCCCGTCAACAAATCCCTTTGAAGATGTGTCCTTACTGAAATGTACGGCTTAACATACAACTAGAGCCATAGAAAAACATATGGACTTGCATTTTTTTCTCTCTGAGGGTAGAAAAATTTGCAAACATCCTAACTTTACATATTGCGTAAGCTACTTGAAACCTGCTTACTTGGAATTCATTAGAGGACGAAAAGGGACCCAGGTGGTCCTCTGTGCCCCTCACAGCCCGTGGAGACCCCCACCGCGTCCCTGGCACACAGCCCTTGTGAGACGTACCCTCTCGTTTGCCTGTAAGTAGAGCCCACAGGACACGGCACAGGCGGGGAATGTGACCTCCCAGAAAACTCAGGGTCCGGAACACAAGCCTCCAGCGACAGATCTTCACTCATCCTGAAGCCGAAGTCACTGGAAAGGCAGTCGGGGCTTGTCAGGGCCACTGGGTCACTTGCACACTTGAGGCTTTTCAGTGCCCCCCCGTGCAACTTCTCCTGTCCCGCCGGCCCCCTGCGTCCCAGGCTACGTGCCGGGTCCCATCAGAGCCTCTGTTCCCGTTCACACTAACACGCTCCCCAAAGGCACTTCATACCAGAGCCACTATCATATGCCGTAAACAAACAAAGCCAACACAAACCATTATGCTACAAGCCAAATGATACTAAATTTTTTAGCTAGATCCCCTTCTCTACCCAAAGACTCTGGGCCTGCCCTCTCTTGTTAAAAAGGATTAGCAAATGCTAAAGAATTACTAGCCCCTGTGAGACCTTCTCTTTGACATTAAAATTAAAAGAGAAATTAAGCCCTGGCTGGTGTGGCTCAGTGGACTGAGTGCCAGGCCATGAAGCAAAGGGCCGCTGGTTCGATTCTCAGGCAGGGCCCATGCCTGGGTTGCAGGCTGGGTCCCCAGTGGGGGGTGCACGACACGCAACCATACATTGATGTTTCTCTCCCTCTCTTTCTCTCTCCCTTCCTCTCTCTCTAAAAATAAATAAAATCTTTTTTAAAAAAGAAATTAAGAATAATCTCCTTTTCTTAATGATTTTTTCACCACTGTTATTTAAGATCATGTCCACAAACTACCAAAAATCACCCTGGTGCCTCGTCCTGCACAACTTGGAGGTCACATCTCCACAAACCCCCCAGCTCAAGGCACAGAGCGGGAAGCAGGGTCCTCGGTCTCACCACGGCTCTGCCCGAAGCTGCGTGACTTCTCTCGGCTGCATGGAACAGCCCTAAGAAGAGGCAGCTGCACTGCGTGCTCACCATGGCGCTGCCCAGGCCGTGAGCTGTGCTTCAGAGGAATTCCCCTGGTTGATGCGCCCAACCCGAGAAGCCCCACTGACTCTCGTTGGTTCAGTAAGTGTTCATTCCCCACCTGTATGGAAAGTATTTAACAGGCTCGGGGCAAAGCAGTCTGTGAGCAGGTTGTGTCATCGTCCCCATGTGGGGCTTTGTACAGAATGGCTCAGAAGGAAGAGTTTTATTACTATATCAGACAGGTCTTATTCACCAAATCAGATAGTTTTTATTGAACAGCTGCTTTAAATCTTTTGGGGGACAATGTGGAGCATTAGCTCATGAGTTTTTTGCCTCTTTTTTTAAATAGGTTTTTTCAAACTGTAGGCCGTGACCTAGCATGGGGTAAAATACTGTGAAGGGTTAAGATCCGCTTCCTCCCTCACCTCCCCTAAAAAACAGAAGACTGCGAAATTCATCACACTTACAAGTGCGTTATCTTGTAAGTGCGATGAATTAAATGTTATCACTCAGACTTCTGTTTTAGTTACATGTGTATGTACCTACACACGCAGACATGTAGGTGCAGGGCCAGACTAGAAAATGCACCACGTACCCTGGTCGTTGCAGTCATGAGTTTCAAAGCCAGACTTCTTGACAGTGTGGGGAAATGGAAAGATGTAAAAGAATTGATGGTACTTTGATAACTTTTCTTGTTTTGGGTTTTAAAAAAAGACGTAAAAGAGCCTACCCCTGCAGCCAGGGCACACAGGGGCCAGAGGCTGGGCCTCCTGGTGAGGTCCGCAGGGACCTCACCGTCAAACGCAGCTGTCACTCAGGAAGGGAACCGATGGGCAGACCCTGCAAATGCAATGGCTCTCGCTTCCTCTCCTGCGGTCCATCCGCAGGCCTTTGCCCTTCTCACTGCCACAGTCCGATGCCAAACATCCCCAGGGTCCACACAGCCGGCCGGCGGGCACTTCCCCCGCAGCAGCTGCGGCCACAGGAGCAGTAACGGCCTGAAGTCTGTACACCCTTGTCACCCGCAGGGCCATCACCTCCACGAAGCCCAGCTCCCAGGGGCAGGGCCGGGGGCCGGTTTCCCCGGTCTGTAATAAAGACTCGGCGCCCGCCAGCTGCTATAGTGAGCCGGCTGGGTGGGCACGGAGGACCCGTGAGAGCCAGGCCGGTCAGCCAGGAGGGCCGGCGATCCCGCCCCTGGCTCTCGGAGGCCGCTGCTGCCGTGCGGCTGCCGCTGGGAGGCAGGTTTTAGAGAAAAGTCGTAACAGCGGTCGTCAAGGGGGAAAATCAAAGGCTTGCGAGGTTTCCTTGCATATTTTTCATTTCATTTCATTTTGAAGTACTTAATGGGGACAAAGGAGGCACAGGAGAGGACCCCATGACCTCTTCTGTGATTAGGGCCTCGACGATGCAGCCCCCAGAGCTCTCAGGTCAGAGTCGCAGTCGGGGGGGATCTAAGACAGAGAGGAGGCGGCAAAGGGGTGTGAACTGGCACCACGGGACCCTCCCCCGGCTCTGCGGTTTGGCCAGGGAAGCATCTGTGCTGTCCTCTCAGGACCACGCGGCTTTCAAAGGGAGAGTGCGTCCTGTTGCTCAAGGGTGGGCCTGCAGGTACGCAGCACCAGAGCCGCCGAAGTCTGGCGGGAGGGCGGGTTCCCAGAGTTGCTGAGCCAGGACTTGCAGGACAGGTACACTCAAGTCTGAGCAGCACCGGTCTGGGGCCGGCACTGGCCAGCCCGGTCAGCTACATCAGCAGGTGAGACCCGCCGAGGGGGCGGCCGCACCAGCTCTGCCTGGCTGTCCTGGAGCGGCGGCCTCAGAGGCCGCATGGCCTCCTCAGCCCCGAACGCTCGCTGCGTGGCCCTGCTCCAAGGCGCCAGAGGCTCCAGGCTTTCGTCAAGAAAAGGGTGCTTCCCAAAGCAAACTGCAGTATCTGTGCGTCGACAGCTCCTGAAAACAAGGTTGTGCATTTCTGTTCAACGCCTACGCTCTCCCGGCAGCCCTGCCCCGTTGGGGGGACCGTGCCGGGTCACAGCCTGAGGGACCGTGGCTCTGAGACCCTGTCTGCACTGCTGCAGTGGTCCTCCCAGCGCGGAGCCCTGGCCTGACCCTCCACACTCCTCGGAAGCTTCGGGGCGCCCTCCGGCTCACGGAACAAGGTCTCTCTGTTCAGCCGCATCTCCCTACACTGGCCGCACCTCGTACACCCCACGAGGCGCCCAGACAAAACCAGCACCAATTTGCCTGCCCCCGCACGGCGGCTCCGTCTCCCCAGAATGCTGCTGTCCAGAGGGCCAGGGCCCATCACAAACGGTGCTTTCTCCAGAAAGTTCTCAACTCCTCAACAGCAAGTCAGGCTCCCCCTCCCAGGCGGCTCCTCCCTGGTCCCTGCGGCTTTCCACCCCGTCGCCCTCATCAGGGTACGCACACGTCCTTCCTTCCGCCGTTGGCATCTCCGCGGGGCCTTGCATATGGTGGTCAAGGACTAAGGAGCGTAAGCATGTGCCTGTGTGTGTATTCCCTCGTTTCAAGTAAAGAAGTAAATTCCCTCTAGAACACGGCTCCTAGAGAAAGGACCTCCCTAGAGTGGGGCCATCAGCAGGTTCCCGGTTGGGGCCGCCCACAGAGCAATGCACCGCAGAGCGACCATTCCTGAGTGAATGACCACACCTTCCCACACCTCCCCGCAGCACAAGGCTGCTGAAACTACATGGAACAGCCTGTGCAAAAGGGCCCAGCACAGGGCCTGGCGCACACACGGTGCTTAATAAATACTGGTCTCCTAGGATTCCCTTCCTTTCCTCGAGGGCCGGCACTGGGCCCCAGTCTGCTCACCATACTGCTGAGAATAAAGCCCAGCACCACCCCGGCACGGGGCAGAACCAACCATTCGTAGTCCTGCCGGGTGCAGGAACAGTTGGACACCACCACCGGCCTGTCAAAGTCTTCTCCGTTGAAGCACGTTGCGTGGGGGGTCCTCCGCTTGAACACAGTCTTGTGTCCCAGCAAACACTCGTTGCCCCTCTCGTCAGACGGCGACCACAGCTTGTAGTCGTTCTCTGTGCAGGGAACCCCTGAGGGAAGGAAATGCAGCGTGAGAGGCAGCCCCGAGGGCCGCCCTCGGCCTGTCGCCCGCCTCCGGGACCCTGGCTGCGCAGCAGGGGCCTCTGGAGCTGGCCCAGGCCTCTGCGCTGCCTGCTCTGGGGCAGGGGGACCCTCACCCAAACGAAGACAGCCCCCACGGAAACACAGGTGTTCATCCGAGAAGGCTGAGCGGGGAGGAAAGCCACCTCCAGCACCGCCTGCTTCTGACGGGCTCTCTCTCACGGCTTCTGTGTCCTGACGCTCCCCCGCCTCCGTCCGTTCTCCCTGAGTTCACCCTCCCCTCCCCTACGCCCCTGAGCATTGCTGTAACCCTGGTTTTGAACTCTGTATCCAGTAGCTTGTTTGTCACTATTTCATTTAGTTCTTTTTCTGTGGATTCCTCCTGTTCTTTCATTTGGGGCATGTTTCTTTGTCTCCCCGTTTTGGCTGCCTCTTTGTGTTTGTTTCTATGTATTATGTAAACTTGCTATGCCTCCTAGTCTTGGCAGGGTGGCCTCATGTTGTGGGTGTCCTGCAGGACCCAGTGGCGCATCTCCCCGATCGCCCGAGCTCGTGCTCCAGGGGTGTCCCATGTGGGCTATGTGAACTCTCCTGGTATCGTTGAGTTTTCGTCGCTGCTGGCCTGTCCGTGGGCAGGGCTTGACCCTCAGGCTGGCTGACCATGAGGTTCCTGCTCTCATTTTCCCTGAAGCCCACAGCTAGGTGTGCTGGTCTGGGGCCTCTTGGGACGGACTCAAGTGCAGTCAATGTCAGACGCTGCCTGTGACCAGCCTTGGGCTACCTGTTAGGAGCCACGAAGTGACCCACGGTTGGTGGCTGCCTCTGCTGGGCCTGGGTGTGTGTGGGCCAAGCTGCACACTGAGGCCAGTTTCCACCAGCCCCAAGCCTAGGGCAGGTCAGTGAAGGGCTCAGAGCACCCAGAGATCCACCCCCGCCGGCCGGCTGTCTGTTAGGCTCAGCCACTGAAAGGGCCTCCAGAGGGGCAACGCGTAAGTCACGCAAGGCAGGGCCTCAGTGAGTCACCAGGCAGAGGCAGCAGCGCTCGCCAGGCTGACAGAGACTGAAGGTCGGTGCCAGGGCCGACTGTGAGGCCACGCAGCAACGTCTCCAGGTTCTCTAAGGTCAGCTACCACCCGCCTGGCATCTGAGGACCTTTGTTAGGGAGCAGGGCCGGGGGGGTGCGGGGGAGCCCAGGGAGCCGGGGGCAGGTGGGAGGACTACACCTCTCGGGGGCTGAGGCCGTAGATCGGGCAGTGCTCTACCCAGGGAGGGTGCTGTCTCTGGGCGGGGTGGGCGAGGGCCTCGGCGCAGGGACCTGGTGGCTGTCCCTTCAGCCCTCTCCCCAAAGCCAGAATCCCATCTCTGCCTGTACGACTCCAGTCTGCTCTGAGCTGCCGTCTCTCCACAGGCGCCCACAGAGTGTGGCTGCGAATGAGATTTTGTGTGCTGGCCCTTTAAGAGCATGCTTGAGTCTCCTGCAGACTCCAGTCTCTCCCCGGCAGACAGAATCCTGCTGATTTTCACAGCCAGATATCAGTTAGGTGGGCTCCTCTTCCCAGGTATGGTGCTCTGGGCTGGGGGGTCGGGCATGGGATCGAGACCCTGCGCTCCTCAGGGAGAACCTTTGCAACGGAGACGTCCCTTTGGATCTCCTGCCACTGCACACAAGGGCGGGCCCAGCTTTTTTAACATGTCAGCCTTTCCTACCAGTCTTGTTGTGGCTTCCTCTGAAAGTCCTTGGGGTTAAGACTTCCGTTCAGCTAGTCTCCAGTTGGTTATTCAGACCGACTGTTCCGTTATTTTAGTTGTAATTCCAGTTTGGTGCTGGGAGCAGGAGAGTGTAACATCCAGCTGCTCCACTGCCATCGGAGCCCTGGGCACTATCCGAACCTCTGCTATGTTCTAGCACGTTGTACGTTTCCTTGTGGACATGGCAACCCAGCGGGGTTTATCTCCTAGAAAGCTGGGGGAAGGCTGCATCTCCCGGGAATATAGTTCCCGGCCTGCCTCCTGGGCGGTGTGGGCACATCGGGTCCTAAGGCCTGCGGGGATTACAGAACTTGCTGCCTCTTCTCAGGAAGTACAGGATCTCCATGGAAGGAGGCTGAGAAATGGTAAGACAACCTGGGTGATCGCTTACTTGACCCATGTTCACTCACAATTTAACTAGAGAGGGTTCTACAGGAATTCCAGAGCAAATCTATGTCAATATTGGCATTTTATGTCTTTTTTATATATGTGTGTCTTAGGTCAGAACTAATACTGCCTGAAAATAATGAGGAACAATCACTTCAATGCCATTCAAATCAGCACACACTTAGTAACCCCTTAATCCCCAGAAGGCTATCAGGTGGTGCCCTGCACGAAAGCAAAGAGGCAGAGGACAGCTTCCTATGTCCAAGGACCTTACAATCTAGTTGACAGGAAACGCCACACAGACAACAGACACAAATTGATGATTCGAGGCAGGCAAGTGCGCTGACACCCTGACACAGAGAAGCAGGGAGAAGTCCTCTGTTTGGGATGTTAGCAGCCAAGTCGTTGGATCCAAAACATCAAAGGATTTGACCTGCTGGAAACAGGACGGTGGCAGGGCTGTCAACGCAGCTGGAACAGCGGCAGCCAGGGCAGAGGGTGGGCACAGGGAGGGCCTGTGCGTCGCCCTCGTCGCTCATGCGCCTGTGCTCTGCCTGGGCTGGCAGACGCCAAGGAGACCCTGGGCGGCTCCGGGGCCGCCCCGCCCAGCCCCCTGCCCTTCCCAGAGCGGCTACCAGCTGAGCCCATCAGACAGAAACTGCTCGTGTCAAAGGGCGTTCTTCATGCGTGTATTCATTAACTCATTCAGCCACACATTCCACACACATGCACCCAACCCCACCACATGCCCGCGACTGCACAAGGAGACACGGGGACAAAAGCGCAGGGGCCCTGCTGCGGGCGCCCAGGCGGCAGCCCACGGAGCTCTCGGCCCCTCACTGTGCGCGGCCCGCCTCGCTCAGGGGGCACCGACGCCCCTCCGCACCGAGCCTCCAGGCTGGTGCTCGGGCCCGCGAGTGTTTCCATGGACAGGGCGGGGGGGCAGCGGCTTACCCAGGGCATCTGTGGCGTTGACCTGGAGGACCAGCCAGCTGTGGACATTCTCCTTGTTGGAGCCGAAAATGGTGAAGACAGTGCTCTTCTCGCCGGGCTCTGTGAGGAGCCCATACACAAACACGGGCTGTGTGCAGAAGGCGAATGCTTTCCAGGTCTCCCCTTCATTGGTGCTGTACCTGCAAGGGAGAGGGAGGGCCCTGCAGTTAACACCTCCAGGACAGGGGCTCGGGTTCCAGGAGCTGCTCACCAGTGGCAGGAGCGGGGCCCCGGAGAAGTGGCTCACCCTGGGCCAGAGCAGAGGGCGGCGGTCAGGCTGCGCCCGAGCGCGAGGCTGCCCTCAGAGGCACGCGGGCGCCAGCGCGCGGGCTCCAATGGACCAAACTCAGGACAGTTTCAACATAAAAAAGTAAACTAATGCCAACAGATTACACGCTGACTGAAAACAGGGCACAGGTCTCTAAGTGACATTACAAGTAAGACAGGAGGGGAGATAAAAACTGTTTTCTCATAGTCAGTGCTTCCTAATGACTGTTGAAGACCAGGACAGAAAGAGAAAAGCAACCATTCTGTAACCCCCTCTGTAGAGACTGACTCAGACAAGGTCATCGGCAGATGCTACAGTCACTGGGCGCAGAGTGCTGGGCACACGAGTGTTCGCAGGGCAATGTGCTCTTGCAGGGGACCAGGTAAGAATCACAGCCTTCACCAGGCCCGGCGCCGCTAACAGGGCTCCGCCTGCACGAGGTGCTTCCCAGGAAGCACCGAGGACACCGCGTCGCCTGCGTCCGCCTCTCCACACCCGGACAAACCGAGCACGTGAGGTTTCTACAGGACAGCGGGTCTGGATTCTTCAAAAATAAAAGACCAAGGCCATGAAAAATGAAGGAAAAAAAAAAACGGAGAAGGCTGGCTCCAGATTAAGAGACTAGAGAAGCATAACCCCAAAATGCAGTGAATAGCCCTTGACTGAGTCCTGGGTCAGAAAAAAAGTAGTTATAATAACATGGAACTAAGGAAAAATAAACATGATCTACAAGTAATACTGAGTCCACGTGAATATTCTTAGACGTGGTAATGGCATTCTGATTGTATAGAAAAATATCCTATTTATTGAAGATGCATGGACAAGTGGACGGACAGACAGGATAGATAAAGAGATGGGTGACAGTTGAGAAAATTGGCAAAATGTTAACAATTGCTGATTCTAGGCGAAGGTTACATGAGTGTTCTTTGTGGAATTCTTCTAAATTTTCCTGAAGCCTTAAAAATTTTAGAGTGGGAAGAAAAGCATGTGCTGATGTGCTGAAAGACGTCTCCACGGCAGGTCACCTCGGGACAGACAAGCAGGACCCGACACAGGCGGCACTGAAGGGGCCGTGATGATTTCAAGTTACCGTCTGTACTGAAGAGAAGGCGGAGGAAGGTGCCGACCCGCTTCACTACCCAGCGAGCCAGTGAGACCGTCAACACAGGAAACCGCTTAATTAGAGCTTTTGTTAGGATCACAGAGCTGCTGAGGTTCCCTTAGATCCTAACTACGTACAAAATGTTTTCTTCCACTTTTCCCATGTTTCTGAGACTGTAGCTCTACTCACTCAGGATCTCAATGCAACTTGACACAAATCTTTTCAAGGCCTCATTCAACACAAACACCCCCTCTCGTATTAAGATCACTAAAATTCATCCTCTGCCAGAAGGGCATGTGTGAAACCCGTGGTGGTAGGGGGCAACAAGAAGAATGTCGACAGGGGATAAGTGATTGATCGCCACTACGGATCTTCTGCGGGGAGAACTTCTCACCTGGCTGATATGCTTCTGGTTTAAACTAATTTGGAAGCAGATACAGGGATAAGTGAACTCACTCAATCTCCTTCTTGCACCATTGTAATGAGCTAAGTCTTAGTACCACTTGTAAAGCAGGATAAGGACACATAACATTCTTTTTTTTTGTAAGAATCTTCGTGGACCACACAGTTAAAACAAATTCACGGCCAGTGAAACAAACAAAACCCAAGAGTGCCAATACGTAGTTTTAGCTCAACCGAAAATAAGACGTCTTAGTTTTCACAGAGCTGGACACATCTGTCAACGAGCCACACAACAGCAAAAAGGAAGGTAAATCTACACACTCCACAAAGGGCACACATCTAACTATACAGACATCTACAATAAATGCCAAAGCAGTGAAACAGGTCAGAACATCTGCCCCTCTGTAACTCGGGGGGCGGAAGAAACCACGAGGGGCAGAATGGCGTGGGTCAGGAGGCTCTCCCTGCGACTCTCCCCAGAAGTGCCGCCCGCATTCGGGGCCGCGGTCACGTCAATGGGTGAGCTGCTGCCTCCCAGATTCTGGAGCTCTGGCCACTTCCAGAACTCGGGTCTGGAGAAGACCGTGGCTGCTGGTGCCGCCGTTCCAGGGGCTTCCCTGGACTACCGGAGGGAAACCCTTTCAAATCGGGAATTTCCTGTGAGGAGACGTCTGTGTCCAAGTACAAAGTATCGTCAGTACCTCACTGCCAGTAATACCATTATGCTGACAGGCATATCACAGAGAAGAAACAGAAACTAAATCCACACTTTGCGATCACGGTGACAAGCCTGTGTCTGGGCCGTTCTGGGGGCAGCGCGCACAGTCACAGCAGCCCTCCTGTGAAGCACACTGACCGCAAACAAGAAAGGCCCACGTCCCTGGGCAGGCTCACGGGGCCAGCACACTGAGCGTGTGTACGCATTTCAGACATGGAGACACACGGGCAACAGGAAGCGTTTCCCTTCTTGCTCTCAATTTCAATTAACATTCACAAAGGCGTGACAGCCTCCGTGGAGGGGCAAGGCAGGAGCTGAAACAAACGACAGTCAACTCTTAGTCACCTGTGCTAATCAGGAAGAGAAAGACATGAATAATTTGAAAGAACAACGGAAAACAAACTTTAAGCCGCGTTCCACCTCGGTCCCCACTAAACCTCTGACTCGCGTTGCGGGTGTTACTCCGCCTGCTCCCTGAGGCACGGTGAGCCACAGGCCGGACGCTCCCTTCCGAAGCTCTCCCTTCCTCCAGCCTCCCTCTCCAGCTGGCTCAGAAACACAGCAGAGTCACAGCGGGCCAGAGAGCTCCCAGACGACGCCTCACTCACCTGTGTATGCTCAGCACCTAGAATGATACCTGGCTCATTACAGATGTTCCACAAATGTCGTTGTAATGGACCTACGATTGCGCCTAACAGAAATGAGCCCCAGTCAAGCGAGGCGGTGGACGGGGTCATCTCTGCGCCTCCGTGCACCACCAGGCCGCACACACCAGGGGCCAGGACCTGTCGCTTACACAGCGCACACGGAGTGCCCCCGGCAGGGCGATGCATCTGCCATATTACCACACACCTTCCAGTTTCATAAATCAGTAAAAAAAATAAAAGCAATAAAAATATCTGAACAATAGAATATTTACTAAGTGCCTGCTAGTCTGTGCAGAATAGAAACACTTGTGTACAAGACCTTGCTAATGATTGAGGAATTGAGGCATGTAACAAAAAGGTGACTAACAAAAGGAGTCAGGAGGTGGTCGATGCCAAAGTAATGACACAGCCAACAAATGCTCTGAGGCTAAAGGACAGAGGACAGCTGGGGGGGGCGGGGGGGGGCAAGCACAGACGGAGTTGACCCTCAGACCAGCAGCAGAAACCCAGTTCAGCCCAGAGCAGCCTTCACTCATGCGTGGGTATCACCATTGCGGTTTGAGGGTATGACTAACTACAGCATCATTTCCTGCTTCTCTTCTGATGAGGCTGGCAGCAGGCAGCCCCAGGCCAAAAGCAGAGCAGCAGCAGAAGCAAAAAGAACTTTGTGAGCCACACACGGAGGCAAAGCTCAGACGGAGATGTGCGACACACACACCTATTAATAGGAGGCCTGCACATATTTTCACATCGGTAAATGCTAACTTTAAACCGTACATACAGACGCCTCCAAATGACCTTGACCAACACAATGAGGCTGCAGTGCCCATGTTCCCCGAAGTCAGCAACAAGTCACCTTTGCATGTCTCGGAGGGCGTGGGAGTGTCCTGGCAGCAGGTGCCTTTTCTTGGTCAGGTGCCGCAGCAGCTAGTACAGCAGCGGTCTGTGCCCCTGAGCACAGGTGCACGACAGAGGGGCCAGAGGGCTGGAGTCACTGGACAGGTAGGTTAGGGGAGCCAGCTCACCATACAAATGCAAATGTAAATGGGAGCTGCAGAAAAGCTAGACCCGGAAAACCAGGAGCCAACTTTGTGATCGGACTGCCCTGCAAAGAATAAAGTGTATTCCAAGGAGGGCAAATTATGCCCCGTCCCACAGTGCTCCCAAACGCGGTCCCGAACATCACACTGTTCACCACTGCGTCTCACCACTGGAGGGCAGACTCCCTCAGAGTGGGGGGAACATCCTATTGATCACTAGGCACAGTGCCTTGCAGAATTGGTGCTTGCTAAATGTGTGAATGGGAATTCATACATTAACCGATAAATCAGTGACGGCTAAATGTGGGAGGAACCGCACTTTGTGACTGTCCTCCTCTGAGCCAACGCCAACCCGAGTGGAGACACAGTGTGCAACTCGCAAACAGAGCCTCTCTGACCCTTGGCCCCAAAAGCAGCAGCTGACCCGAGCCACACAGACAGAAAATCGGGGCGGCGCCAGGGCCTGGACTGGCTCCTCTCTGCGGCCAGGCCAGGCCAGGCTGCCCAGCGCATGCCCAGCAAACCACGGGGCACCATCGGCGGGGTCTCTCGCTTCAGCCGCCCACCTCTCCTTTGACGCGGGCCGTTCCCTCCCGGCACTGACCCTGACATCTCCGGGGCCCTCGCCTTCTCCTTCAGTAACCTGCCCTGGGAGCTCCCCTCAGAAGCGGGGGGGGGGGCCCCAATGTGCCCCTACATACTGCTGACAAAATTCGCTTCCGTCCTACGGGAAGGAAGTGATCGCAGAGCTGGTTCTGATAAAATCAGACTTCAGGAGGCAGAAGTCAGCTACTCCCGACTCTGCCGCTCTTCAGAGCACGTACTGTGAAGAAGATGGGATGGAAGCAAACCCTGGCTTCTCGCCTTTCCCGCTGGTCAACGGGAGCCTTCAGAAAAGGCTCTTTACTTGCCTTGCACAGGCTCGGTTTTCTGATCTGTAAAATGAAGTGGGTAACCCCACATGTCCCTTCCAGTTCTGTTTGTAAGAACCTCTAAAACTAAATGTGTCACAGTAAAAGTCAATTGGCTATCAATTTACAGGTACCTTGAAATTATTACTCATGTATTATTATTATTTATTGTTATTCATTGTATGAGTAAATCTCTGTATAAGACACAAAGCAATGAAAAACCAATGTAAAGTGTCCCTAATTTTTAAACCATGATTAACGTATATTGAAGTAGAGTTGTACTTCCCAAAGCAATACGATTATTCCATTTATCCCTCAGGATGTCCCGTTGCCACAGGAAGGGCAGCCCATTACTGGTACCCTGGAGAAAGCCGAGCGTAATCCGCTCCGCGAGGGCAGGAGGGCGCTGTCCACACACTGTTGCTGGAGAGAGACCCCGCGGCCAGCGGACGCCGGGGCCCGGGAGGGACGTCAGGGGAAGAGAGCCATGGGGACACTTACTTCAGCTCGTTGGTTTCCGTGCCCTGGGCGATGGCCATGATGATGCCGCCGTGGTCCCCCCACGCGTAGTAGTGCGGCCCGGGGAGCGCCTGCAAGGGGAACGCCGGGGTGAGCCTGCTGCGCCGAGACCGGGTGGGACTGCGCATGCACCCACGCGTGGGCAACGGCACACACACGCTCCCATGTGTGTGCATGCCACACGCACGTGCACATGCATGGCACACACAGCGCACAGCAGCGAGGCCGCCCCTTGAATACCTCTTTTCCGTTCCCAGAGACCATTCCCAGCCATGCCCTCCTCTGCCCCACACGGCCCTGTGGTGGGCGGAGCAAGGTCCCACATCCCAAGTGGTGTCCCAAAAGCCGCGGGGAGCGGCTGTTCAGCGCAGGCTGCGCAGGCCGGAGCCCGCAGCCGCGCGCGCTGCAGGGGGCAGCGCACACAGATATCTGACTCTCACCCAGCAAATTAACCAACGGGAAACCCAGCTCTCCTACAGTGGTCTAAGCCCATCCTGCCTGCTGATTACAACTCCAAACTGTGTACAAAATACAAAAGACACCTACCTGAGGAGACGGAAAAGTAAGTGACTTCAGGCAGCCTGCGGAGAGGAGTAAAACCTAGAGAAGCTCCTGCAGAGCTGGGGTTTGCTGGCAAGGCCGCTTCGCCCCAGGCACGGGGTAACTCAGAACCAGCGACACAGCCTACACTCCACACAAACTGTTTCTGCCCCAGGAACTGAGAGAAGAAGGCTTAAAAGACCCCGGGGAATATGGATGTGATCTCTGAGGACGGAATGTCAGAGCCGTAAATCCTCTATTCTGTGTATGAATCCACCTATGCCCCGGCCTGACCCTAAATACACGTCTGGAACAGTCCCAAACCAGACTGGCAAAAGGCTTTGTGAACCGCACCGAGAATTTCAACAACCACGCGCAGAATGCAAGAAAGAAGTTGCGGTCTGAGTCTAACAAGCTCGTCACAGGCTGCAGCAGAAATGGTCGCCTCCTGCCGGGGGTCACGTCCCCTCGGTCTTATTCACTGTCCTGGACACAACCCAAAATTGCGCCACAAACAAATTTATCAGTAAAATGTGTCCAGCTCTCACGGGAAAAGACAACAGGTACCAACCCCAAGATGATCCAAATGTTGGAATTAACAAAAGACTTTAAAACAGTTATCATAATTGCGTTTTAATGAGGTAAAAGAAAATCATTGTGAAATAAACAAAACACAGGAATTCTCTCCAGAGAAGTGGAAACTATTTTAAAAATAAAAGAAACCAAAAAACTTTTAACAAAAATAACTGAAATAAGAAACTCATTAAAGGGCTCAATAGCAAAACAGAAACGACAGAGTCATTCATAAGATAAACACAGAGCAGAGGGAATCACCCATTCTGAAGAAGAAAAAGGGAAAATAGAGCTCCAAGGGCCTGCAGGACGGAAACACAGGTCCAGCGTGTGAGTGGAGTCCAAGACGAATAAGAGAAAGGGAATGGAGCAGGAAACATATTTGAGGATGAGCTGGCAATCTCCCAAGTTAGGTAAAAAACATAAATTTATAGATTTAAGATCAGTTTCCCCAGAAAGAAAAACACAGTAAGAGATATCATAACAAAATTGCTGAAAACCAAAGATAAGGGAAAAAATCTTGAAGCATGTAGAGAAAACTGATGCATTACATACAAGACAGGGATGAGCGCTGCGACCATGAATTTCTCATGAAAACCCAGGAAAGCAAGAAGATAGCAGCACATCTTTAAATCACCAAAAGAAAATTCCTGTCAGCCCAGAATTCTACGCCCACAAACACATCCTCCAGGAATGAAGGAGCAATACAGAGAAGCTCGGCGACGGGGCACCAAGGGGCCGCGGCGCCAGGAGCGCTGCACTGCGGAGGGCGCGGGCCGCACCTCTCCCGGCTGCTAGGGAATTTATCGGGGAAACGGGGATCTTCCAGAAGAAAGGGAGAGTGAGAGAAAAGGTAAATATCTGGGTAAACATAAAATATCGCTTTTTTCCCTCTTACGTAGTTCAAAATTGATATCATGATTTAAGGCAAAAACAAAAACCTGTGCTGTGGGTTTTCAGCGCATGTTGACTCGACGCACAGAACAACAACGAAGGGCCAGGGAAGGGAAGAGGGACTTACACTGCTGCTGAATTTCAAAACTTTATGTTAAGCCTAACACTCCATTGAATGCATATTAATTTTAAAGATGAAAGATTAAATAAGTATGAATAAATAAAATATTAGAGCTACATCCAACCCTAACAGTAACACAATAATCATATTAAATGTTAACAGTCTACATGTTTCTTAAAAAAATAGAACTTGGCAGAATGAATTAAAACAAAAAAGCAAGACCCTCCTATATGCTGCCTATAAAGAACGCTTCAAATATAAAGACACAAAAGTAAATGGATGGTAAAAGATATACTATTCAAACAGTAAACATAAGAAGTGACTAATTCAAAATTAGATAAAACAGACCTCAAGAAAAACGGCATTACCATAGATAAAGAGAAGTGCTTCATGCGGATATAAAGGAAATTAATCCAAAAAGATAGTCATTATAAAAATGTATGTACTTCTTAGCAGAGCTTCAAACGCCTAAAGCAAACGCTGGCAGGACCGGGCGGCACACACTGCAGAGGGCAGGGCGGGAGGGCGGGTCGGTAACCAGCCGCGCCTGCGATGGACACCCGTTAGAACCAGCCCTGAACTAGCAGGCTCGGAGAGACTCCAGGCGGGCGAGCACGCCCTGACCCAGCAGGACGGCACGCTCTGCTCCCTGGGAACGGGGGCTCCGGGCCCCGGACCCCGGACCCTCGGGCACTGCCCTCGGGACTTCCTCCACCACCGGTGCGTCTGTGTCCTCTGCAACAGCCTCCATAACAAACCCTGAGTCTATGAGCTGCTCAAGCAAATCACGGAGCCCAAGGATGACCTCATGGATCCCCGTTCACAGCCAGTCAGTGGGAAGTACAGGTGGCAACCTGGGACTTCCAATCTGAGCATGAAGGTGGGGGTGGGGCGGGGAGTGGAGAAGACAGGGCACTCTTGGGAAACTGAGCCCCAAACCTGTGGGGCCTGTGCTCATTCCAGCTGGTTAGTGTCACAACTGAATGGCAGAATGCCCACTTGGAGGTTGGAAAGTTGGAGAATTGATTACTGTAAGGCAAAAACATCCACACATTTGGTATCAGAAGTGGTCTAAGAGTAAGTCTTTTTCATGTTATTACATACTAAGGAAGGGAAGGAAAGAGAAGGAAGACAGAGAAATAAAAAATATAAACATCATAAAGGAAAAAATGAGAGTCATTCCTATTTGCACATGATACAGTTACTTATATAGACTCTACAAAATCACTACTAATACTAATGATGTTTTGCCAAGGTTACAAAACTCAAGATTAATATACAAAACTCAGTTGTACTGCTATATACTATAGCAAAAACTGGAAATGACCTTTAAAAAAATCTCATTCATAGTGATATCTAAAGATAAAATATATCTACGAATAAAGTTAACAAAAAGCATATAAAAGTTCCACATTGAAATATAAAGAATATTGCTGAGAGAAATTTAAAAAGAAATGTAGAAATATACTATATTCATGAATCAGAAGACTCAGTAATGTTAAGATGTCAATTTACCCAAACTGATCTATAAACTCACCTCAATCCCAATCAAAATCAGAGCAGGTTTAATAGAAACTAACCACCAAATTCTAACATGTATGTGGAAATACGAAAGACCTAGAATAGTTGATCAACATAGACAAACTGTAGACGAACCCTACCGTCGGGAACGACTCAACAATAAGAAGGGGAGAACCCCTCAACAGCACGCATGCAGCTCAGAACCCTCACGCGTAACAGCAGCCAGACCAACACGCAGGCCGCCGGCCCAGGACGGCAGTGGGGGCAGGGAAGCCGCACGCACCTGCGCCCAGAACCAGAGAAACCAGAACTGCAGCTAAATCACAGAGCGATCCACCCGAATAGCCAGCTACAGACGAGCTGGACAGAACACTCACAACCGAGGATTTGCAGAAGCAGCCACGAGACGGGCCCGAGGGCCGAGAGGCGGGAAGGGCTGGCCCTGCGGCGACAGAGAGGCTGAGGCGGCTGAGGCACATCTCAGCTGCAAAGGTCCCCCCGAGACCCTGCGCTGGCCCCCTGCCCACGGAACACAGCGGGAAGAGGCGTTCACATAACCCCGAGCTGTGGAAATCTGGGGGTTCCGTCTGCCAGGGAGGGAGAGAAGTCTGCTAGCGTTACACGTGCCCTCATACAGGGCCAAAGCACAACATGTCATTCACAGCCACTCACCCTGGTCTCTGGCAGAGAGAGTGCGAAGTCAACTAGAGTCACGTGAGGGGACACTAGGGTTTGTGGCTCTGAGGACAGAGCTGAAGAGACGGCTGCCAGGCTCCCTGTGCTGAGTCCTGCTCCCACACTGCAGCCTGCATCTTCTTGGGTAGCACGTGCCCCGCCTTAGGGCGTCAGCCTGGGGAAGGCAGTAGTCCCCCGTTCCGGACTCCCTGGCACCCCCACTGCACAGCATGCGTCCTGCTGAGGAGTCAGCTGCTGGGGTTTAGGTGCAGAGGTCTGGACAAACTCGAGGGGCGTCAGCGACTGACTGGTGTGGCTCTGGGGTAGGGGTGGATCTCGAGATGCCTTCAGACCTTTGCTGACCTGCTCCCGAACTTAGTGCTGATGTAAGATGGCCTTGGTGCACAGCCTGAAACTTCCCACGCACCTCCAGGCCCAGCAGAGGCAGCCACGTACTGTGGATCATTTGTAGCTGCAAACAGGTTGCCCAGGGACAGTCACGGGCAGCTTACAGCATTGACTTGCACCAGGGCCCCTCCCTAGAGGCCCCAGTGGCCAGCCTCAGAGAGCACCCGAGCAGGGCCCCGTCGGCTCCAAAGGCAGCGTGTCAGTAGGGAGACCTCGGCAGGCGGCAGGCCTGCCGAGGTGAGTCCCGCTCTCTGTGGTGAGCATCTGCACAGCAGTTTGTACCCTGTGCTGGGGGTGGGGCCTCACAGGCATCGCGTCTGAGGGTCGGCCCCAGGCACAAATGGCCAATGGCAACCAAGAATCAAGTACAAAAGAAGGGCCCACGGGACCGACACAAGAGGCATTCATAACGCACCCAGCTCAGGTGATCAAGGAGGCTGCACCGCTGGGCCCCACAGGACAGCTACTACGTAAGGCCAGTCTGCCAAGACTGGGAGTCATCGCGAATCGACCTGCTACAGACGCGCACACACACACCAAAAGCAGCCGAAATGGACAGAGAAACGTGCCCCAAATAAAAAAACAGGAGAAGTTGCTAGAAAAACAAATAAAATGGAGGCAAGCTATTCACCATATAGAGTAAAAAACGTGGCTATAAAGGCGCTCCAGCAACTTAGTGGCATGAAAAATGGCATAGAATCCATGAAAAAGAGCCAGTAAAAAATGAAGAACAACACATCTGGCATCAATAATACACTAGAAGGAATAAACAGTAAGTAGGATGAAGCAGAGGATCAAATCGGTGACCTGGAAAACAAGGTAGCAGAAAACACCCAATTAGAGGAAAAAAAAAGAATAATTTTTAAATATGTGGACAGTGTAAGGCACGTTTGAAAGAGCTTGAGGCATAACGACATCCACCGCAAAGGGGTTACCAGAAGATCAGGGCAAGGAGGGGATCGAGAGCCTATGTGAAGAAATAATGACGGAAAGTTTCCCTCCCCTGATGAAGCAAAAAGGCAGACAAGTTCGGGAAACACAAAGCCACAAAAAAGGGGAACCCAAAAGACCCACACCAAGACATATCGTCATTAAAATGGCAAAGGTAAAAGACAGGGAGAGACTCTTAAGGCAGCACCAGGAAGACACGAGTTACCTGTAAGGGGGCTCCCCTACGACCGTCACCGCTGGTTCCTCAACAGAAACGGCGCAGCCAGAAGGGGCTGGCATGAAATATTCAGAGTGAAGAAAAGCAGAGACCTACGACCAAGATTACTTAACCCATTAGGCTTTCACTTAAAACTGGGAAAGAAATGAAGAGCTTTCCAGATAACAAAAAAGCTGAAAGAGTTCATTATCACAAAGCAGTATTAAAAGAAATGTTAAAACAAGAAGAAAAAACAGAGGAATGCAGTTATAAAGAATAAAATGGCTATCACTATGTACCATTCAATAATCACTTTAAATGTAAATGGCTTAAATGCTCAAATCAAAGAACACAGGTAGCTGAATGGATTAAAAAAAGACCCATATATATATGCTGCTTCCAAGAGAACCACCTCAGAACAAAAGATACACACCAACTAAAAATAAAATAATGGAGAAAGATATTTCATGCTAATGGAAATAAAAAAAAGAAAGCTGGGATAGCAATACATATATCTGACAGAAACAGACTTTTAAAACAAAGGCTATCAGAGACAAAGAAGGACACTATCTAATAATAAAGGGATCAATCCAACAAGAGGATATAACCTTTGTAAATATGCATCCCACATAGGAGAACCTAAATACATAAAGCAAATATCCACAGAAATACAGATATCAACAGTACTAGTCAAAGTAGGGGATTTTGACACCCCATTGACATCAACAGATAGATCTTCCAGACAGAAAATCAACAATGAAACAATAGCCTTAAATGACACACTAGACCAGATGGATTTAATTGGTATATTTAGAGCACTTCAGGCCAAAGCAGCAGACTATACATTCTTTTCAAGTGCACATGAAATATTTTCTAGGATAGATAACATGTTAGGACACACAACAAGTGCCAGTAAATTTTAGAAGACTGAAATCGTATCAAGCAACTTCGCCGACCGTAATGATATAAAACAAAATCAATCACTAGAAAAAAAACCTGAAAAACACAAAAAGACATGGAAGCTAAATAACATGTCACTAAGCAATAAATGAGTTAACAATGAAATAAAAAAAGAAAACAAAAGATACCTTAAGACAAATAAAAATGAACACACAACAACCCAAAATCTACGGACATAGTGAAAGCAATCTTAAGAGGGAAATTCACAGCATTACAGGCCTACCTCAGGAAAGAAGATAAATCTCAAAAAACAATGTAATCTTACATTTAAAAGAACTAGGAAAAGAACAACAAACAAAGGCCAAAGTGAGTAGAAGAAATTATAATTAGAGGAGAAATAAATAAAATAGAATCTAAAAACATAAATGCAACACAATAAATCAACAAAACTAAGAGCTGGTTCTTTAACCTGATTCATCAAGAAATGAAGAAAGAAGACCCAAATAAATAAAATTAGAAATCAACGAGAAGTAACAACTGCCACCATGGAAATACAAAGGATGATAAGACTATATTGAGAACTATATGCCAACAAATTGGACAATCTGGAAGAAATGGATAAATCCTAGAAACATACTATCTTCCAAAACTAAATCAGGAACAATTAGAAAATCGAAATAGGATACACTAGTGAAATTGAAGAAGTAATCAAAAAACTCCAAACAAATAGAATGTCTGGGTCAGATGGCTTCACAGTTGAATTTTACAAAACATTCACAGAAGAACTAACACCTATTCTTCTCAAACTATTTCAAAAATTGCAAGAGGAAGGAAGGCTCTTGAGATCATTTTACAAGGCCAGCGCTATCCTAATTTCAAAGCCAGATAAAAACACTACAAAGAAAAAAATTAAAGGCTAATATCCCTGAAGAACACAGATGCTAAAATCCTCAACAGAACGTTAGCAAACGGGATCCCACAACACATTAAAAAGATCGTACACCAGGACCCAGTGGGATTTATTCCTGCCACCACCCATTCGCCTCACACATCCGACTGCCCCTCCAAAGTAAAAACCAAGATGTCCACTCACAAGACAGAGTCTCAGCCTTGTCACCCCTAGACAGTTCTATGCTGTTCCCAACATGAGGTCCCGTGTGCGAGGACTGCTTCCGGGAGGCGCTAAGCAAGGCTGGCGGGAGGCGCAGCCAGCGGCCCCCGCTTCACGGGGCGGGGAACACACCGCTTCCCACCCAGAAGGGTATCACCCGCAGACGTTCACCTTGCCGACCACAGCGATGTCAGACGGCACAAACCCAAGCACAGAGGAGGGACACCTGACTTTAAAGGAAGGCCCGGCTCTAAGAAGAGGAGAGCAGCCGCTTACCCTTCCCCATGGGGGCAGGGCAAGGAGGCCCGGGCAGCTCCCGCCCGCTCACACGTTGTGCCTCCTCTGGGTTTAACAGCCTCCTTCATCTGAGCAAGTACTTCCACCCTCTGTACATACCGTACAGCCCTCGAACGGCACACGCACACACACACACACACACAAGCACACCATGGGCACATGCGCACATGCAGTGCCGGCGCCCCACCCCTCAGCTGCAGGCGAGGCCTGCGACAGTTCTCTGCAACTGTGAAAAGCCCGCAAATGTTGGGCTCCGTGGCTCCTCTGCGTATCACGCAGCTGGAGGTGGAAGCATACGCACCGCCTTCCCCGTCGGAAGCACCGTGAGCGTGGGAACAGTCCTGGCCGCCGCACCTGGCCTTTTTGGGGTCTGGGGCCTCCGTGCACCCCCACACAGCACCTCTGAGAACAGCCCTGCACAGTGAGGCCAGTGCACTTCCTGTGGCCTTCACAAGTCATGGGAGGCTGGTGGAAACCGTTTCTTACAAGTTTGGGAATTCCCTATTGTCCCAGGTTGAATTAGCATTTCAGGACCAGAGGACTAGTGGCACCTGAGGAGCTGGTGTCATCAGTGCCCAAGGATCCGACTTCATGACACCACCGTGAGGGACAGCAGTCTTCTTCCACGGCAGAGATGAGCCCAAAGTACAGTCCCTGGGCATGACAGCCCAGTGAGCAGAGGCTCGATTTCAACTTCGGTAATAACAGAAACAAGAAACAACCAGGTTCAGGCGGGATGCCTCCACCACGACACTGTCATTCGCTAACAGACTCAGCAAATATTCGCCGAACACCCACACCGCACCAGACACTAGTAGGTGCCAGGGGTAAAGAAGGAAGCAAAATGGAAACTGCCTTGTCCTCAGGGAACTGAGCATCTTGGAACAATGAGTCAACATTTTTTTAAAGCCTGTTTTTGATTCAGAGTAGTACATTTGGCAAAATCACAAGCCCATATTACAAGGTGTGAGTACACATCGGCGCAGCGGACCCGCATGTGGTTCCAGGTAATGCTCTTCGTTTTACCATCACAGTTGGAACTGGCAGTCTCCCCTATGGGCCCCAGGCATCCCTGAAATGGCTAGGCTCAGTCCAATCTCATACAAACAAGGAAGCGGGGGGCCTCACCTCTCGCCACCGGGCTCCGGCACTGCTGGAGATGTACACATTCATCTTGCTTGCCAAGTTCTTTCCCACGGAACCTGGAATGCAAGAGGAATAATTGTTTTTGACTTCAAGAACCTTGCCCAACTAGAAATTCTGAGTAGAATCTGGCAACGGAGAACGTCTTACACACGCACGCAGCAGGGACGGCAGCAGATGGCGGCGGTCCCCGTGCACAGGAGCGGACAGCTTACCTGGGGGGGAGGAGCAGGCAAAGTAAACTCACCCGTGGCGATGATGAGCCCAGGCGCAGACTCCTTGGAGAGAATGGGCATCCTCCGGAGCTGGAGGTTGAGCAGCTGGCTGAGCCGCTGGGCCAGGTGCAGGGAGCAGCCGTGGGAGAGCTGCAAAACGCACGTCGCAGGCGCCATCAGCGAGAGAGACGAGGCCCGCGTCTCCCTCCAAACACTGAGGCCTGCGTGTGGACACAGCAGCGAGAAGCAAAGGAAGGGGGCCTGGCCCAAAGGAAACCAGAGCCACCGCTGGCTGTCGCCACACGTCCGCAGGGACATGATCAGCTGAACCACATACATGCCTCTCATTGAAGCAAAGAGAAAAACACTAATGAAAAATTCCTTCTGGGACTCTCAGAGAAACAACTGGAAATCAGCATCAACTCACGCAGACAGGAAAGCTATCAATCTCTCCATATTACCTAGAGATTCTCCCATGTGACACCCAGGGACACAACATGAGAGAGAAACACCAAAGTATCCACAATAAATTTTTTTCAGTAGGCTACGTTTGTACAAAGCACAAAGTCTCCAGGTGTTCCTGGTAAGACTTCAAGTTACCCAAACTGGCCTCCATCACTTAGGTTTCAGATCTGAGTTCTGCAAACAGGACTTTTTGCTAATATGGTCATGCCTGATTTTCTTGGCCAGGAAATGGTTATCATATCTCTTCTGAGCAGGATAACTGCGTGCGCTTATGGTACAGGTAAAAACTGTGACATGGTTTCCTAGCTACAACTATTTTTATAAGAGAAGGATCTCTAACAAATATTGACATGGTTTCCTAGCTACACCTATTTTTATAAGAGAAGGATCTCTAACAAATATCCATCTTGCTTGGCATCACAGTTTGGTGAATGAAAACTAGAGCAAGTTGAGCTGGGTCTCAAATATCTGCAATCTTTTCAACCTTTCCCCTTTTCTTTCACTGTCTAAAATCAGAAGCAGAAGCTAAAAGCTGAATAACTGTTATACAGTTCATAAATAAACTGATGGGTCAGTGTAATAGGAAGCTGAATTTTAACAATACCATTAATTCCATTAAACCAAGGCTTAGACCCCCGCCGCACGCTGAGAAGTGCCCTGCCTGCGTCCACACCGGACTCACACAGAGCTCTGCGAGCTGGGAGGCACTACTGAGGAAGTGAGAAGCACCTAGGGATTGGCAATGTGCACTTACATTCTGCCTCTTTCCAAAGTTAGGTTGCATGTGGTCAATTGAGACCTGGTGCCAAATCAGAAGATAAATGAAGAACTATGTTCTAGAGCAAGAATGTCCAGGAGAACCTTCCCACAGGCCACACACACAGCATAGAGTCGGCCAGCACATTTAGCCATGGACAAACACAGTTCAGTAATCCAAAAGACCGGGTAAGTGTCTCAGGGAAATGCTGCAGTTTCTCCGAACATCAGCACCACCTGTTTTTTCCTGAGTTCCTTCTGTCCACCTACTTCACATACTCTCGGTCCCTGATGTCAAATAAAAACGGAGATGTGGCTCATCACATAAAGCCAGCGACCACAACTGTCCTTCTGAGGGAAAAGAAAGGAGTTGCTTCGGTACATGAGACTGCTTTATGGGACCGAATAATCCAGTTCAGTCTCCTTAGCTTTTCATATGAAGCCACAGATAGGGAAAATTATAGAATCCTAAACAATATGCAAAGAGGAATTTTAAAAGAAATTCTACAGAAATAACTTATGGGAGAGGTTTTCAAATGTTCTTGGTTCAGAGCACAATTGGTAATGTCTCTATCGCACTTTCAAGCTAGAATACGGATAAGGAGATGTGCCCTAATAACTTAGGAGCAGTTTAAAACAACAGGATCATATATAAACATTGAAAGCAAAAGGGAAACTTCATTTCATTCTTAAACACCTACAGTCACTGAACACGGGGCTGGTGAACCGGTTGGGCACTGCATGGTTTCTCGAACGCCAGTCAGACGCCACGGGGGCCATTCCCTGCCCCGCCCTGGCTTCCTCGCTCCCCAGCACAGCGCCTGCTGACACGCGGCCTCACACACAGGCTGCCATCGGAATTCGCGCAGCTCGAGCCCCCGCTGGGACTGCGCGCTGCCGCAGGGGGTCGAGTGCCCCAGCGCCGCCCTCAGAAGCGAACACATTGCGGCGCCCCCAGAGCTCGCCGGGGCGCCCCAGGTTGCCTTGGCACCGAGTTTGAGAACTGGGAGCACGGGACCGCAGATAAAACGTCGTATTGAAAATCCAAACCACACAAAAGCACCTATACCTCACAATCGATTTTTTCTCCATATTCTGTGAAGGCTGGAGCCTGAAGAAATTCCCAGGTGCCCCCTTTGTCAAAGGTGATGACTGATCTCATGTTTTCCTCCTTCATGGGGCCATTGATCAGGGTAGCAATGTAGACGCCTTGCAGCCCTTCCACGCGGTGGAAGTCAGCAAACGGCTCGTTTGCAAAATACCTACGAGAAGAGAGAATAAACAGCTGTGAAAATGCAATGGTATTTTTTGATGATAAGTACCATAAAGTCTGACCATTTTACATGTGATAATTCGGTGGCATTAAGTACACTCACAACGTTGGGCAACGTGCTCCCCAGCTCCCGACCGTGCCCATCGCCCCGAAAGGCGGCCTGGGCCCACGGGCGGCCACTCCCCAGCCCCTCCCGCCCAGGCCCTGGCAACTGCCAGCAAGTTCTCTGTCTCTACAGATTTGTCGCTTCTGGATTCTTCATATAAATGAAATCATGTAATTTGTGGCCTTTCTTATGGTTATTTTCACTTAGCATAATGTTTTCAAAGTTCATCCATATTGTAGCATATCAGCACTTCATTCCATTTTATGACTGAACAATCAGCTCTTTTTAAAAAAATAAAAATAAAAGTGATTGCTTTTAAACTTTGAGGCCAAGATGCTTGTCTGATCAATGACTCCTCACAGGGGGTTCAGAATGATAAACACAACACACAAATGGTGACGCAAGAGTTGTCTCTATTTGTTCAGTATTGAAACAGTGAGTCTTGAGAAGCAGCAAACACTAAGCCAGACTTGCCAGGCACTAACAACAACGCCAGGGCTCGCGATTTTACCCAACTGGCAGGAATATAGCTGCCGTTAAGCAGGCACCGTCCGGGCAGTACAGCTAACCCATCTGAAACCAGATCAGGCGGAAGCCCCCGGGGGCCGTCGAGGGGAGCAGAGCAGACCCCCTTCCCAGAGCAGCGGGCGGGGGCGGGGCGGCTCCACAGCCTGAGGCCACACCTGCTCTCAGGGAAGCAGAGGAGGAGGCCCCCCTGGCCCGCACCGCTGCACCAGGCCAGGGTACCGCGATTCTGCGGGCAAGCAGACTTGCCTGAAACAGTACAGTTCACACGTGGCTTTTAAAAACTGGAAGTGTGCCCCTTATTTAGAGGGTTCGGAGTCACTAGGCTTTGCAAACCCAGGCGCAGGACTGCTCTTCCCCACCATCGGCCACACAGGTCCTGAGCGGGGGTGGGGGGGGGGAGCGCGCTGCCCCTCGCACGGGTGGATGCGCACTCGAGCCCTGATACAGCCACTCCAGACCCTGGAGACGAGCTGAGCAAAACGCTGGGCTTGAGACCAAGTATTCTGACGTGGGCTTTCCTTGGGCCTGTTTTAGCTCTTTTTCAGCCACGGCCTTAGGAATCGGCCCAGGCCTACTATCCCCCCGCTGCTTTGGATTCCAGCACCGGGAAGTCGCCCGGCCCCGGCCTTGCCGGCGCCCTTCACACATGAGGGAGGTCTGAGTGTCTCTCGTTCTGGGGAGCTCCGTTTCTGTCCCCAGGTCGCTCTCCTCGAGTTTCATCTCTTAGTTCCAAGCAGACACCTGCCCTCTGCATCTCGCACACCCCCCTCCTCCTACCTGGCCCTCCCTGCAGCACGCGCCCCCAGTGCGCATGCGCCGAGCCTCACCAGGCCGCCCACGACTCGCGCCGCCTTCCACTCGGAGCGGGAGCCCCGCGCCACTCCCGGCGGCCGAGCAGGGCCTCCTCGGGACGCCCCGGAGGCCCGACGGCTCCCGCACGGCCACGTTTCTGCCTCTGCCTAGACGGTCCTTTCCACGAGACTTCTAGTGGCACCCCTCACCACGGCCAGTGTCACCCCGTTAACACTTCTCTCTCCAGTTCTCTAAGTGAATCAGAACCAGCTCCCGGGCACCACACTTTCCTCTTGAATTCAAGCAACAGCTCACTTCCAATACCACCAAGTTTTTGTGTTTTCTGTAAACCAGCCTGCCCATGTCATCTGTTAAGCCACCCTTTCCCCACTTCGTCTTCCTGAGATGGACATGCAAATGGCCAAGCTCACTCAAATGGGCACACCCGAGTGCGTCCAGTCCTGCGATAAAACCGCAAGAAAATAAGAAGGCTGAGCAGGACGCTGGTTTCTGGATCTCGACGCAAACCTGCTTCCACGACGCGCACCGGGCTGCCGGCGCAGGCCGGTGGCAGGGACCACCACCCTGCCACCACGGGAAGGGCCACTGGACGCGACAGAGGCCACGGCACTGGCTCCCGCTGCCCTGCCATGAGGCATCCATCCGAAATCTCCAACGAGTGTGGAAGCGGAAGAAACCTCTGGCAGGCTGCGGCTCACCCCCCACGGCCAGGTGCTCGGCACTAGTCAGAGCGCCCTGATTTTAATTATAAAAAATGTAAGAATATGACTCACCCTAAAAGAAATGAAGTACTGACACATGCTGCATGTGGATACTCTCAGAAAGGACGGCGCCGAGGGACAGGAACCTGACACGAAGGGCCCGCTACGGCGTGATTCCATCCCCAGGCACCACCCAGAGAGGGGACGTCCGCAGGCAGGAGGCCGACCGGCGGCTGCCAGGGGCTGGAGGGAGGGGTGAGGGAGAGCAAGTGCTCCACGGGTACAAGGCGCGCTTTCAGGGACATCAACCCCTTTTGGAACTAGATAAAGCTGTTGGTTACACAACGCTGGAAATGTACTAAATGCACACTAAGTTGTTCACTTTAAAATGCTTAAGTTGAAGATAGGCAAATTTCACCTCAATGAATTTTTGTTAAAGTCCTAGGAACCAGCCCAAAGGGGTTGCCACTGACCAAACCAGAACCACCTGAGTCTGAATCACGGCAGGAATGGTTTATAAGACACTACAGCACACGGAATAATCAATGACCTGTCAGCCCCTACTTGGGAAAAAAGCTTGAAATGAAGATGAACTTCCAGCCAAGACGGCAGAGCAGATAAATGTGCTCGCCCCCTCCAACAACCACATCAAACCTACAGTGGGATTACAGAACCATCACCCCTGGGAGCCACCTGAAGACGAGCTGAAGGAAACACCTACAGACAAGGATCTGAAGAAGAGGCCACATCGAGACTGGTAGCAGGGGAAGAGACGTTAAACAAGGCAGCCCCACACCCACATGTAACAGGGAGGAGTCAGGAGGGGTCTCTTGGCTGCAGAGGGCCCCCTGTAGGAGCAAGGGGTCCCCGCCCCACACCAGGCTGCACCAGTGCCAAGAGGAGGAGTCTGCACATCTGGCTGTGGAAATGGGCCGGCGTTCCGTCCACGCACGAAGCAGGGCATCTGGACACCCAGGTGCCTTCCTAAAGGGCCCCAGCAAAGGCTCACTCACTCAAAAACACCCTCCATAAGTTCCGGTGAAGGGACAGCAGCTTTGAAAGCACCAGGAGCGCGGGGAGGCACTGAGTTCTCTGGCTTCAGAGGCAGGTCTGGCGGGGAAGCTCCCTGCAGCACTGGAGAGCTGGCACACACCACTGCTCCTCTGTTGACCACACAGGCCACAAAGCAGGGCAGCACCCCAATCTGACTCTCCGTCCACCTGGCTGCCCCTGCTCGTGCAACCCCAACACTGGGAACTCCTTGAGACCCCAGCCCATCCAACTCACGCACATGCTCAGACGCCTCCAGGGACACTCTAAGTAGCTGGACCGCACAAGCAGCCAGCCTTTCCTAAAATCCCTGAAAGATCTGCAAACCCCAACCAAACAAGCAGTGGCCCGAAGCCAGGCACCCGTGGCAGGCGGCCTTGGTCTGCAGTGCTGCATCTCGCAGGTGCCTCCCAGCCCAGCACAGGCAGCACCAACCGCAGATCACTCTGAGGCCCCTCCCCTGGGGCCCCAGGCCGAGCACAGGCAGAGGCTGCCCTGGGCCTGCACCAGAGCCCCTCCCACGAGGCCTCGCACACGACACACCTGGCTGCCGGCACGAGACCACACTGCCGGCGCCACATAATTAGCTCCACAAACCACACACCCAAAGAGTGGACTTGACAGGCACCGGGGTGCTGCTGAAGCAGATTCCATTGTGTGAGGTCAGCCCCACACACCAGCCGGCCCAATGCAGTCGTGGCCAGTCCTCAGAGTCCGTCAACCTGAGGACCAATCCGAATCACTGATGTGCCAGCCACGCTCAAGGCTCAGTTACAGCAGGAGAATACACGAAACCCACATATGATTAATACCCCTGGAGCACCTGGCTCTGGGGTGACCGGGGAGGCTGCGCCACTCGGCCCCGCAGGACACCCTCTACATGAAGCAATCCTGCCAACATGCAGAGATGGAGCGGCTCCACCTAACACATGCAAACAAACACAGGGTGGCAGCCAAAATGAAGAGACACTAAAACAGGCCCCAAGTGGAAAAACAGAACAAAACTCAAAAAATAAATAAATAAAACCAAACACAATGTAGATAAGCAATTAACTACATACAGAGTTCAAAACACCACATAGAGGAATACTCAATTCACTTAGTGGAAGAATAGATGAATTCAGTGAGAACTTACACACAGACATAGGAACCATAAAAAAATCACCCAAAACTACAGAATACGATAACTGAAATGAAGAATAAATTAGATAGTAGCAGCAGATTAGAGGAAGCAAAGAATCAAATCAGTGATTTAGAAGACAAGGGAGCAGAAAACACCCAAACTGAACAACATAAAGAGAAAAGAACCAAGAAAGAAAATGAGACTAGTTTAAGGGACCCCTGGAACAACATCAAGTATAATATTCACATCACAGAATTACCCGAAGGAGAAGCAAGAGGGCAAAAGATTGAAAACCTACCTGAAGACAAAAGAAAGCTTCCCTAACTTGCTGAAGGAAATAAACATACAAGCTGAAGTAGCACAGAGAGCCCCAAACAAGATGAACCCAAGGAGGCCCACATCAAGACACATCATAATTAAAATGCCAAAGGTTAAACAGTAAGGAGTTAATATACAAAATATGTAAAGAATTCACACACCAGGAAAAAAAAAATCCAATTTAAAAAAGGGCAGAGGACCTGAATAGACACTTCTCCAAAGAGGACATACGAATGGCCAATAGACCTATGAAAAGATGCTCAAAGTCACTAATCATCAAAGAAATGCAAATTAAGACCACAATGAGGTATCACCTCACACCTGTCAGGATGGCTATCATCGATAAGTCAACACACAAGTTCTGGTGAGGTTATGGAGAAAAAGGAACTCTTGTGCATTGTTGGTGGGATTGCAAATTGATACAGCCACTATGGAAATAGTAGAGTGGTTTCTCAAAACACTAAAAGTAGCCCTGGCCAAGGAGCTAGGTTGATTAGAGCATCATCCTGATAAGCCAAGGTTGCAGGTTTGACTCCTGGTAGGGGCACCTACAAGAATCAACCAATGTATGCATCAACAATAGCTGGACAGCAGGTCAAAAGGCGTCTCTCTCTCCGCCCCCGACCCCTTCCTCTTTTTCTCTCTAAAATCAATAAATTTTTTTTAAAAAAGTAGTTTAAAAAATGAAAAGTAGCCCTGGCTCAGTGGATTGAGTGCCGGCCTGTGAACCAAAGGTTTGCTGGTTCGATTCCCAGTCTAGGGCACAGGCCTGGGTTGAAGGTCAGCTCCCCAGGTGGGGCGTGCAAGAGGCAACCATGCATTGATGTTTCTCTCCCTCTTTTCCTCCCTTCCTTCCCCTCACTCTAAATATAAATAAAATCTTTATAAAAATATGAAAAATAGAACTACTATATGACATAGCAATCCCACTTCTGAGTATGTATCTGAAGAAATCCAGAACACCAATTTGGAAAGATATATGCATCCTTATGTTTAAATGAAGCATTATTTACAGTAGCCAAGGCATGGAAGCCTTGCCCAATGGTAGATCATTAAAAAAGATGTGGTACATATATATAACAGAATATTACTTGGCCATAAAAAAGAATGACCTTACTATTTGCGACAGCATGGATGGATTTATAGGGTATTATGCTCCGTGAAATAAGTCAGACAGAGAAAGACAAATACCATATAATTTGACTTATATGTGAAATGCAAAGAACAGAATAAATGAGCAAACAAAACAAAAACAAAGTCGTAACTACAGAGAATAAACTTATGGCTGCCAGACTGAAAGATGCTGGGGGATTGGGTAAAAAAGATAAAAGGGATTAGGAAGTACAAAGTGGCAGTTAAAAAACAGCCACAGGTACGTTAAGTACAGCATATGGAATATAGTCAATGATATTATAATAACTATGTATGTTATGGGATGGGTATTAGAGTTCTCCGCAGGATCACTTCATAAGTTATATAAATGTCTAACTGCTCTTCTATACACCTGAAACTAATATAATAGTGAAAGTCGACTGTAATTGAAAAAAAATTTTAATATTGTTTAAAAAGATAGCACATCTGAAGGAAAAGAAACAGGAAGTGGAAAAGCACTGTGGAGGCCATCTGAAAAGTTCTCCACTTGAGTATCCAATGGCATCTCCAATCCAGGAAGGCAAACCCAATTTCTTCATCTTCTCCTTCAACCACACACACACACACACACACGCAGGCAGCTGCAGCAGCCACTGGCTTGGTACAAAGCTATTATTCTACCAGCTGCTCGGGCCAAGCAGTGGTGGTCTCTTGACTCCTCCCTCTCTCATAGAGTCAGTCAGCAAGTCTATTAGCAAATGGTCAGAATCTGACTAATTCTATCATCTGCCGCTGCCGTGGACCCAGCCATCACCCATCTCCACTGGCCCAACCTGCAGCCTTTTGCTGCTGTTTTCTGGCTTGCACACGTATCCCTTCCCGTCGTCTAACTTCCCCACAGCCGTGAGGACGGCCTTTTAAAAGAGAAGTCACGAGCTCGCTTCAGCTGCACATGCGCTAAGATGGAACAATGCAGAGATTAGCACGGCCCCGCGCGCAAGGCTGACACGCATTTGTGAAGCATTTCACATTTTTCTGTACATTAAATTGTTTTAATAAAAAAATTAATTAGAAGTAAAATATTTAATTAAAAAGTAAACATCACAAAGGGGTCACTTAAAATTATTTATTATGTTGTCAATTTATGTTGAATGTACTTTTCTTCATATAATGCAAAGTATAATTTTTTAATGGTAAAAAGAAAATGCAGTAGGTTAACTTAAACAATGTCCACCTTCTTGTCAAAACCCTCCATCCCACTAAGAGGATAAAAATTAAGTTCCTTCCATGCCCTTTAAGGCCCTATGTAATCTGAGGCCTGCTCTCGTGCACCTTGCCTTTGGGATCCTCTCTGCCCTCCTCACTGCTCCTAAAATAAACCAACAAAGTCCACATTGGAGTCACCGGGCCTGCTGCTGCGTCTGCCTGCAGCTCTCTTCCCCGGGTACCTGCCTGGCTCCCTCCGTCACGTAAGCCAGGAACCTGCTCAAATGTGGCCCTCCTGGAGCAATCTTCCCCGGTCGGCAGGCAGAATGTGACATCTCAGAAGCCCCTGTCCTCTTGTGTTCCCAGCACCCACCGTTACCCAGCAGACAACATATTCGTTTACAGTCTGTCTTCTCCTAATTAGGACAAAAGCTCCAAGGAGCAGGGGCCTAATTCACTGCTGCATGTGGAACGGGCCTGGTGCAGAGCAGCAGCCTGTGTGCTGAGCAGCCCGCTGCCTGAGTGCATTGCCAGCCTGCGGAGAGGCCGTGGGCCACAGAGGCACCCCCAGGCCTGGTGGCGTGGCTGTGGGCCAGCCTCACTGCGGCCCGCCGGTCAGCTTCTCTAGGTGACACCTTCAGAGAGCAGCGACTGATCCTGCCCACAGTCGGACACCTCCGCAGAGCCTGGCTTGTCACAGAGCACATGAGAGTAAGTGAACTAGCGGTACCAAAGAATCACGGTGCCGCCCCGCACTCATGGCGGTGAACGTGCCCTCAAACCCCAGAACCTCCCACAGCCCAGAGAACGCCCACTAGTGCAGAACCGTCAACTAACCATGTGATTTACTGATAGAGGGCCAATAAGGCCGGTGTCTTTCCACAGACACAGAATAATTCCTTGCACCAAAAATGAGACAAGTGAATGAAAGGAACTCAAATGAGAGGCTGACAGTGTTGAAATGCTAAATGTCACCTACAGTAGCAGAGCTCAGCCTTGGCATCCAATAAAAGTCACCTAGGGAGCTTTTTAAAACCCTCACACCCCAGCCACACCCCAAGCCGGTTCCGCTGTCATCTCTGCAAACAGGAGCCAGGAATGCGGTTTCTGAAAACACCCCCGACTGAGCACCAATGTGCAGCTCCTGCTGAAAACTAAGAGCAGAGGCGGGGGTCCCGGCGAAGGCCAGGGAAGGGGACCAAGAGGGGAAATGGAAACGGGGGCCTCTGTGATAGTGTCAATAACAACAATAAAGAAAGTGATAAATTAAAAATGAAAATGAAAATGAGAATAAAGATAGACAGATAAAGAAGCAGGAGGGCCTCCCGAGCGGCTCACCTCAGCAGGGTGTCACTGCCTGTCCCTCCTGGGCTGTAATAGAGGACGCTCTCCAAGGACAGGGAGAACTTCAACCCCTCCACCTCCGAGATGTATAAGTTGGTGCGGTTGTTACTATGGCTGACACACACAAACACCTGGTCCTCGGAGGCATCTGCGATGTAATATTCCTTGGGAATAAAAAATAAAAAATATGTAAGTTAAAAAGTGCCCCTGTCCTGCGAGCTCCCCCTACACACACCAGAGCAACGGCTTTGCGGTGTCCCAGAGATGGAGGTGGGCATGAAGCCCGTGGACAGAGCGTGACGCCCCCGGCCTTGGCACAGTAGGCCGGCTGGCCGTCTCCTGGGAGGCCTGCGGCTGCTCTGCAACTGGGGCAGGGCCCTCACAGGAAAATGGGGCGCAAAATAAGAACAGGCCACTGAACTCCATTAATGACCTAAAAACCTCTTTTTAGTAAATAAGGTCTCCCTCTATTTCCCGTAAGACCTAACATGAACTTCCTTTCCTTTTTCTCCAAGGTGACCAAAGGAAGGTGAGCCCATAGAAAGCCAAGAACGGACAAGAGTGTTTTCTGTCACACACTCCTCCGAGCTGCTCTCCCGCCGCCACACCAGCTGCGGTGTCCGGCCTTCAGTGCCCTCTCCTCCGGGGCCACTTCTCGGACAGCCCCAGGCCACGTGGATTTTCCCTGTCCATCTCCATGTATCACACACACGGCTCCCTCCTCTGCGAAGTTCACCGTCTCTCCAACCTGTCTGTATCTGAAAGGTAGGACCCAGATCCTGCACCTTTTTTGACCCTACACGTGTGTGAGTAGCCGAGCCGGCACTCAAACACGTGCTGCTGCCCTCCGGCGCCTCCTCCAAAGCTCGTGGCCAGGCCTTCCCCACTTAAAGCAAACGAAGGCTGCTGTCCAGCTCCGCCGCAAACCCTGACAAGGGGAAAACAGACCGCGATGCCCACAGCACATGGCTCTCTCTGGGGGCTGTTCTGGAAAGTGACCACAGGAAGTTGGGTCAAACACCCGGCCCGCAGGACATCCCCCGGCACCTTTTCCGGACCTCTGCGTGGGAGCAGTGACACTTCTTCCCACCCCCAAACGAACCCCACTTACATTAATAGGATGTCTCGTGACAAACTGGGCTGCTCGCATGGGCTTCCGGCCGAAGGAGACCCAGAGCTGCACAGAAGGTGGCTGCCGGCTGCCCACAGGATGCTGCCAAGGAAGGTGAGAAAAAAGACCAGTTGCGCCACATTGTAACCACTCAGGATAAGGGCGAGAGGAAACTGAGAAGCCAGGCCCCTCTGATTCTACTTAAAACCCGACGCAGGGAGTGAGACTGCGAATACACACTTTGCAACCTCTGCTGCCACGGGACAGCGTGGGCCGCAGTGCCTTTTACCCCAGACCCGACCTGCGGCAGATTCTAGACTCGCGGAGCTGGATGGGGAGGGAGGGCGACGGCACCAGAGGAGAACGTGGGCTTGGGGAAGGGGGCAGAGGCTGCCAGAGGTTAAGCAGAGAGCGGAAAGGAGAGGACTGTGTGACGAGGCTGAGGGGACAGGTGGGGCAGAGCCTAGAGCATCCAAACGCCACGCAGCATACGAGGCATATTCCTTCTCTGTTCCATTCCTACCGTCAGATGAGAAGGACCCCTGAGTTACAAGGCTTTCATTTGCACCAAGAATTGAGGGAATTTTCATCGATTCAATTTCTCAATCTTTTAGTATTTCCCAATAATGCCTTTTGTTAGAATATGTTTTCTTTGGTAGAGTATAGAGTGTATCCCACATGATGCTGACCACATCATATTGCATTTTATAAATATTTAACCATGGCCAGAATCTTTTAAATGTATATAAAAGCACTAGAGGAAGAGGAAATAACTACATCTCTCTAGGTCTCTATGTATCTACAAAATGAGAAGCTGACTTGGATCAGGGCTTCTCTCTGGATGGGTTTCTGTGGTGCAGGAACCCTGTAAACATAGACATGCCTTTTTTGTATAGATATACTCATTCATTTTGCTGGGGAGGGGGGGGTCTATACCTTTTACCAGATTCTCAAAGGGTCAATGATTTGAAAAAGGACAAGCAGCACTAAAAAGGCTCTACGTGGTTTTGTAATTCAAAGAGGGAGACAGAGCCTCATGTAGACAGCGCCGCACACACGACTGCAACACGCCCTGGAACGCTGGGGTCCCTGCCCAGAAGAAGCTGCTGTGGCTCGTTTGCCCCTGACTATTCACTGCTCTTTATGATGGGTTTTCAGTTCCCTTGGAGTGTGGGACAGCAACTGAACGCCCTGTGTTCCTATGTGCCCAGTAATACTATGTGAAGAGCAAACTGATGAACACAAAGTTACCTCTGATTCATTTGATCAATGCATATATACATGTGTATTCAAATACCACTGAACAAATGGTCAAAAGTAGTTTTAAAGAAGCCAGGTGAGAAGTATAAAAGACTGGGTTTTCAAAATGGCACCCTGAAAACCATGTTAGTAGTTTGTACTTGGTAGGGGACCCTAGGAACTGATGGACCTGTTGAAAATGTAAAATGCAGCCCTGGCTGGTGGGGCTCAATGGACGGAGCGCCAGCCTGAGGGACCAATTCCCAGTTCAATTCCCAGTCAAGGCACAGGCCTGGGTTGCAGGCCAGGCCCCCAGTTGCGGGTGTGCAAGAGACAACCAATCAATGTTTCTCTTGCACATGGATGTTTCTCTCCCTCTCTTTCTCCTTCTTCTCTCCTCTCTCTAAAAATAAATGAGTAAAATCTATTTAAAAATGTAAAATGTATTACCTGAAAAAAAATAGTTTGCAGCAAAATTCATATAAATTCCAAAATCCCTTACGTCAGTAAAATTTTATAGCTGCGTATAAAAGTCAGATGATTAGTGTGTCACCCTATATGAATGAATCCTTACAAGCACATATGAATACACATATATCAATGAAACATGTTTATGCTTCCTATTTTCTCACTACTTCCTACTGTGGTTACCCCTTAGAAAGGAGGCGTTTTTCCCGGTGCGCCCCAGGCCCATCGTTAGCTAGAGGCTCCGAACGCCTGCGGCTGGGGGACCCGCCCATGGAGGACCCGCGCACGGAGGACGTGCACAAGGCCGCGCGCACTCCATAAACGCCAACCACGGAGGGCAGAGGTCAAAAACCCTCCAAACAAACCCATCCCATTTCCTTCTGGGAGAATTACTCCTAAACCTGGAAAACGAGGGTTCACTCATGACGTAGTCCTAAAGAGCAGTTATAATATTTTACTGCCACCAAGAAAAACAGTGACAAGTGTGGCACGCTACCGATTGTAAGATGTACTAGAAGGCCCTGATACTTTTTGTTACTAAACCATGGATTTTGTTGTTGTTGAGTTGTTCTTTACAGTTATTATAAAAATAAAGCAGGCCCATTAAAAGCGTCCAACAATGCAGACAGGTGTAAGGTAAAATGCAGAAGTTCTACACCCTACTCTCCAGTCTAAAAGACAGGATCTCCTAACTGATGGTCCCCAAAGGGGAGCAGGATGGGGAACAGGATGAAAAAGGTGAGGGATTAGAAACTGCCTATGTGTAGTGACAAGTCAGTCATGGGGACGCAAGGCAGAGCCCTGGGAATGCAGTCGATGCTACTGAAATAACCACCTGTGGGGCCCGGCAGGAACTGGAATATCAGGGGTCACTCTGTAAGTTCCCTCACTGTCTAATCACTACGACGCACACCTGAAACTAGCATAAAATACTACTGGGTGTCAACTGTAATAGAAAAACACATTTTAAAAAAAGACTATGGTTCTCTTCCTTTTGTGCAACTACATGTGGTCATGTGACTAAGTCTAATTAACACAAGAAGTTGTACTAGTTTCTCAGAAGGCTGGTTAAGGGGGCTGAAGAAGCTGGACAGGGTCCTGCTTTGGCCTGTCTGTTTTCTTCCTAACTCCAGGAAAGACTCGAAGAGGCCTTGGACCATGAGGGAACCGTGAGGGTGGAAACCGTTGCTGAGGGCGGCAGAACAGAAAGACAGAGGGGCGGGTGCTCAGCATCCCCAAGGCCCCAGCACTGCCCCAGGCAGCCTGCCTGCGGGCGGCACTGACCGGTCAAGCCACTTTCATTTCTAGAGTTGCCTGGAGCCTAATACGGCGCCAAACTGACACATGCAATTCTATGTTCCACATGGCGATGAAATCATGACAGAAATATTGTTGTGCCACTCAACTTTTTTCATTAACAGACTAGCTAACTGTTGTATAACTTAACTTTTTCTTTAACAGTGCACCTTAGCTTTCATTTCACAGCTACTGGTGGGCCTTTAGGTTACTTCAAGATGAATACTCCCATGTCATCTTTGAAAACTACATGGGAATGTGCGCAGATATTCTTAGAATTCCTAGGTCAAAATGTTCATTTTTGATAGACAGTAAAAATGCCTTCCTGAAAGTCATGCCAGTTAATAACAACACACAAAACTTCACCAACAACTAGGAGCGTTCTAAACGTTTTATTTTATATGCCAATCCTGTAGGGCCTAGAATTTATGAGAAAGTCTTTTTCTCATTTGGTATGTTCACTTCTGATGAGTAAAAATAAATTAATCTAAGTACCTGGATAATCTGAATTTCAGAGAGTGCACTTACATTTATGTTTAACATTTTATCGACAGCAAAAAGAAATGCAAGATCAAGGACCAAAAAGCAGAAAGAAACGGAGTAAATGACACATATTGCCAAGCAAAGACCAAAGGATGTCACAGGGAGCTATTAACTGAACGCTGCTCAGGGACACGGGCGGGAGGGGCGGGCTCGCGGCGGTGGGGCCGTCCACAACGGCACTGGTTTGCACTGCGGCACTCGCCACCCCTTCGCTGCTGGAGCCGCAACCCAGCCTCACCCAAAACATCACCATCCTCATCAGTGCTGTTCGCACTTAAGTATTTATGGATATGATGATACATCTGGAATTTGCTTTAAAATATTCCAGGAAAGAATAACAATGAGTAGACGGCTTCAAAAAGATGAGCAAAAGTTGACGACATTGAGGCCAAATGAGGGCATGTGGGCAGGCCGTATCAGTATAAACTTTTTTGCGTATATTTCTAAATGTCCGTGATAAAGTTTGCAAAGTTACTATTAATGGGAAGCATGTCTAGAACAGCAGAGTAAGGAACTCTGAAAATTCTCTCATCTGTTACAGCAACAAGAACATTCAACAAAAATTCTCAAACTCAACTTTTTCGGAATTTTAAAAATTACATAAAGGCTTGCAAAAACCCCCAGAGCACGGACGGAAGAACAACGATGAGGCTGTGCAGGAAGAGGCAACCTCACCGTGACATGCGCTCGACCCAGCCCTTCTCCCTCGCTCTGCAGAGCCTGGGAACCCACAGCTGCGCAGCGACAGAGGGTATGAGAAACAGCAGCCCTCAGCCGCCAGCGAGGACAGGGCAGGTTTGGAGCCAGAGGCTGTCGCTGCGTGGGCGGCTCGGCGGCTTACTTGAAAGCCATGCTCCTCAGCCCTTCCCTTTACGTGGCATGATTCAGCTCACTGCCCAAACAGACGGACAGCCAGGGCATTTACGGAAAACAGTGACAACGGACAAACGTCTAACAGCCTGGTGGCCGGGGAGGCAGGGCCACTCTGGAGCTCCCGGGGGGCTGACTGAAAAGCACAAAGGGACACCTGGGAGAAGGCGTCCACCAGGGCCTGGACGAGCTCTGACAACGCCAGGGAGCCTGCGAGGCCACGCGCTCATGGAGGCTCCGAAAAGGGCCTCACTTCTCCTGCCCGGCCGACGACCGGAGGCGCTGCCTGAGCAGGAGCTGAAGGGAGAGGCAGGGCCGCGGCTGCTTCAAAGGCCTGGCTCGGAGGCCCTTGGCAAGGGCTGCCCGACTTACGTCCAAGCACCTAAGAACGCACTGTTCAGTCAGTATCTGAACGTCAAGCTAAATTACCAAACACTTCAGGAGCCACACGCAATGAAGAACACAAACTTCACAAAATCAATGCAGAAAGCTCACAAAACAAAAAAGGCAATAACAATATCAAAAAGCAACAGGAAAAAATCTTGGGAAGGGGTACTCTGATATGAGAAGTTGTTACATAAATCATTTAAAATGTCCCAGTTTTCAGCAACAAAAATGACAAGACAAGCAATCAGCCAAGTATACACACATGGTCAATATAAACTATTGCTGAGGAAGGCCAAATATTGGACTTAGACAAAAAAGTGGAAATCTATGATAATATGTTCGAAGAACTAAAGGAAACCATGTCTCAAGAATTAAAGGAAAGCAAGAGAAAATCAATAAATAGAAATTAATGAAAAAAACAAATAGAAATTCTGGAGTTGAAAAGTACAATAACTCAAAAGAAAATCCACAAGAGGGGTTCAATAAGAAATCTGAACTGGCAGAAGAAAGCAGGAGCGAACGTGAAAACATTAACTGAGGATCCATGCTACAACATGTGTGAAAACATCACACTTTGAAAGGAAACAGTCACAGAAGGTCACTGTCTAGAGCAGGCAAAGCCGCAGGGCAGACACCAGACCCATAGCTGCTCGGGGCGGAAGGAGAGGGAGTGAGGAGTCGTGCCACTGGGCGTAGAGTTCGTCCTGAAGGCGGTGAGGACGTTCTGGAATCAGGTGGTGATAAGCATTATACAATCCCACAAACATACTAAAAACCACTGAACTTTTAAAAGGGTGAATTTTATGGTATATAAATTATATCTCAATACAAGTATTATAAAAATTAATTTTGAATGTATTGCTTTTATAGTATTTTTAATCTGTAAATATGTTTGGGTTTTATAATTGTACATGAGATATAAGCAGTAGATGCTTATATATACCTTAGTGCTGCATATATTTAAGTAACACCATAATTAAAATAATTTGTCAACAGTTGGTTCTGATCAGTCATCCTAAAATTCACACCTCAATTGTGGTCAGCTCACTCTTCACACTGAAGCCCACAATCCTCAGATGATTCAGTTTTCCTGTTTTCTCTATCAACATTAGACTTTAAATTAGGGTAATTCAGGTTAGAAATTGGTTTTCAATAGTAAAACTAGTGGTTGACTGGTCAAAATAGTGAAAGTGCGAAGGAGCTCTCTGGGGAGATGCGCGGTGGGCAAGCCGCCGGCCTCTGCCCCGGTGTGTGACAGGCGTGCCCAGGACGCCTCGGCCTCGCCTCCTAGGCGTGACGCCCGGGTGAGTCCAGCTCTGGCACCAGGGCAGTTGGCTGCCTGATGCCAACGGGACAGGCTCGGAACCCTGCCTCTACGAGGCTGGTAACTTTGTCCTGCAAAGGTCTGAGCCATCCGGCCTCTATGCAGCTCCTCAGGTTGGCCACTGTAACGTGAAAGCAGCGGTAAACCTCACATAAGCAAGTGTGGACGGCTGTTTCAATGAAACTTCGTGGACAAAACAAGTGCAGGACCGTAGTTTGCCTACCCCTGCTCCAGAACACGGCATCTGCACCGTGCAAAGGGTGGGAACATCCTCCGCCAGGACAGGGAGGAGACCCCACGAAGTCCGCACACCGGGCGCTTGCCGGGGGATGAGCACGGGCGCCAGGAAGCGTCTAAGCCCGGCTTTCGCATCCCACGTGGGGGCTGAGGCTGCGGAGGGCGGAGGGCCGCACAGCGGCACGCATCAGTCAGCAAGCGGCGCCGCTGTGCCCAAGGGCGCCTCCTTGTTTTCCTGGCCCCATCACTGTGACAGGAACTTAGACCGATAACTTCATGTCAAAAAAACATGGAACAAAAATTAAACTGGAGTTAAAAAAATGAAAACGCATCAGGCAACAAGTACGTCTGACTTAAGAGCCAGGCCAACAGGGCACCGAGGCGTTGCGAATGCTCGGGTGCCAGCTCCGGTCCAGGACGCAGACGGTCATCCCACGCGACACCAACTGGCAGAGACCGTTGCAAAGAATCGTAATTACCAAGGGTGATGGGGAAAAAGAGAGATAATGGCCCAATGCCAATTTTCTCTGGTTCTGCAATTAGTTCCCTGACTTCCCTATTTTGATTGGAATCCATTTAACATTAAAATCATTCCAATTTCCCTACGTGCAGGCAGCCTGGGAGCCAGGCATACCCCGGACCAGAAGTCAGCTGCATGCGCAGGCCTCAGCACGCTGCCTGATCTGCTGATCCGACCAGGGCCGATGCCCTTCATCCTTCGGACTTAGTGGTCTAGTGCAGTAAGCAGGAGAACCCCATTTTATCCACTGCCAGCTGGGTTTCTCCTCTTCTCATCCATCCACTGAGAACACATAATATAATAAAGTTTCTTTGACAACATAATTGACTGTTATTAGAAGCTTCTGCATATAGAAGACCTCAGAGAACAGCTTCTCAAATTTGGAAAATTCTTAGGCATCCTCGGGATGCACAGGAAAAAAAACGCACTTGGGTCACGCAGACCCTCTGCAACAAGTGCGCTGGCGCGATGCTGCCGCAGGTGCTCCTAAGACCACAGCCGAGGAGCAGCGCCCGGTGCTGGCTCAGCTCGCCTCAGGGCCCGGCGGCCCGTGCTGGTGATGAGGGAAGACAGCCAGCACACACCTACAATTCTGCCATAAAGAGGGAAGCCACACAGAGAGCTGAGAGTGGACTACAGAAGCACCAATTTTAATAACCTCTCAGCCTCCCCAAAACTCTACCAGCCTACGTGCTCTAAATTAGGCAGGCAAAGACGGCATTCATTGAACTCTCCTGCATATGTGCCATGTACCACGCACTGTGCACAACACTGGGCACCGCATCCGTGACGCCCACACAGACTCTGCACCGCCCGACGGCAGCCCGGGGGAGAACCGCCGCAGGCCCTCTGCACCGCAGCTCCGTCCAGACCACCGGCGTGGCTGTTAGATGGCAATGGAGGGCGTGGGGCGCTCCACCAGGGATGTGACTTAGACCCTCAAGGTGTGAGAGGCAGAAATGACAGAGTTAAGAGAAATGCACAACTGCTCTCCCCATCAATCCTGACTCCATCAGCACAAGTCTGGGAATCAGTCCCTGTGCCTTAAAATTAAACTAAAAACAGCCCTGGCCAGGTAGCGCAGCTGGTTATAGCATCATTCCAATGCAGCAAGGTTGTGGGTTCACTCCCTCCCTGGTCAGGGCACATACATACAAGAATCGACCGATGAGTACATCAGTAAGTGGAACAATGCTTCTCTCTCTCCCTATCTCCTCTCCCTCCTTTCTCTCAAAAAAAAAAAAAAGAAGAAAAGAAAAGAAAAAGAAAAGAAAGAAAAAGAAAAAAAAAGGAAATTAAAATCACACCAAAAAATCCAGACCCAGGAAACCGAAACAGAAAAGACGTATGGACCCTCAAAACCCAGAGGTGGTGCTGGAACTCAGGCCTGCGCAGCTGCAGGGCAGGAGGTTCTGCCCTCAGGCCGGACCCCTCCGCAGTCCCATCCCCCCGCCCGCCACATCCCTGCCCCCAAGGAAAGACAAGGACGCCCGTGCTCTTCAGCTGCTGTGCATGTAAGAGAAAGAAAAACAAACCGACAGGCAAGGCAGGAAGGGGCGTCCAGGGAGTGACTCAAGGCCCCAGCCTGGCAGAAGAAGGGGTTGAAGAAACCACTCCCCGCATTATGCCGTAGGGAATCCCCAGCCTCGAGCCTCCCACGTCTTCGCTCCTCATTCCAGCCTTAGGCCCAGATTTCCCCACTGGGGCGGCTCTCTCTACACCCTAGAACCCCAAGAGGGTTGGCCAGCTGCTTCCTGGCCAGCTGCCAATTCCGTAAATGAGACCCCAGAGGGAAGCATGACCCCCCTTCCGGCCCCTAAGGTTAACTGTGCAGGAGAGCAGGGCAACCTCGCAGTGACAGAGGCCTCCTGCAGGGCCTGAGGTCCGCCGGGTCAGCGGCTCGCGTCCCCCAAGACGCCGTCCTGCCTGCCCCGGCCAGGCCTGGTTCTCTCCCTCGCACACAGCAGTGTGGTTGCCGCTTACCAAGTTCTGTTAAACAATCAACTCTGGTTTTCAATGCGCAAGCTCTCCCTCTCAGCATCTGGCTCCCACCCATCGAATCAAGGGGAAAATTTTCCCAAAGTCTTGAGATTTAAGCTAGGAGCTTAATGACTGCTTTTCTAAGAGCATTGATTCCCACTGGCTAATGACTACACATTCTATTAGCCCTGTAGCTAACATGGAGTCAAAATTCACAATGAAACTGTCCTAAATTGAAAGGGTATCAGGCAGTGGAATTAACGAAAAATGCTACTAAGCCCCTTCTAGGTTCTTTTCATTGGGATTTCAAAGACACATGCGTGTGTCAAGGATGCAGTAGAACCTACAGACACTCCGAGGGGTGTCCAAGCCTCTGCAGCCCTCGACCTCCCAGGACGCCTGGGCAGCACCCTCGTCACGGTCCCCCAGGCCCGCGATTGGGTCCCCCTTGTGCAAATTTCCCTGCACTGATCACAGAATGCCAAACCTCAGAAAGGGAACTCCCAGCAGTTTACTCCTTGGCACCTTAAACTTACCACCACCTTCGTAGCAAACATGTACTTGTCCCGTAGCTGAAAGTCTCGCACTTCCTCGAGGACCACTTCCTGGTTCTCCCGGGACTGGAAGAAGTCTGTACTTCGGAAAACGGTGGAGTAACCGGAGGGTTCATGCCGTTCGATGTAGACGGTGTTTGGCTTGTCATAGGGATCAATTCCCCTGAAAGAAAAAAACAGCTGTTACCGGCTTTTCCAAGTCTGAGCCCTGAGGGCGAGGAGGCTGTGCCCAGGGCTGAGGCTCAGCAGGAACTCGGGGTGCAGGCTGGGATCGCTGAGTGCTGCCAACTCTCCCGGCGGCTCCTCAGCTCACAGCAGAGGGAAAGGAGCTGCCATCTGCCAGGCCTCCTGTGTTGGTACTGTTGCTTCCAGAGCATCCTGGGTCAGTGCAAGCTCGGACCTCGCCTCAGAAGGGTGGGAGGAAGGAAAAGTAAAAGATGCAATGTTTTGGAATCAGTAACTCCGCTTAAGACTGTCTGGCACGTTTCTGGCCTCAAGCGATGAACCTCACAGGGAGGAAGGAGAGTGTTTTCAGGGCACTGTGTTCCTGCCCTCGGAAGAACAGAGGAAACCACACAGCGGTCAGGGAGCCTTATCTTTCTATTGAGACCTTTCGGCTTTCTATCCGCTCTGGGCTATTGCTGTTTCACCGACCTGTGCAGCCAGGATTCACGCACCGAGCACGCACACGGCTGCACGTCTCCTCCACCCACTGCTCGCCGTGCTCACAGGTCTCCTCCAGGACCGCAGGCTCCTGTCCTCCCCGGTGCCTGCGGCAAGGCCTTGCCGCTCTGCAGCCCGGCAGGGCGCCTTCCCCGCCTGCGCTGGCCGAACTGCTGAATCTCACTCCTCTTCTGGGACCATGCTGAAGCCCCCCGCCCCCAGGAAGGCGTCCCGGAACGCTCTCCCCCTCTCCCAGCACGGGTGATGTGTCTCTCTCTACAGCACTCAATTTCAAGCCTTTTTCATGAGCTTTATGGGAGTTTCAAACAAAGGTGAAAAACCACTTTGGTTGGGGGGATGCTGAATCAGTCTCCTTACTTTAAGCAGTGGTGTTTCTTATATTATTCTAAGCTGAATGTATGATGTCACAATGTACTATATTTTCACCACAGTTCGTCTCAGCTTCCTAGAGAGTGCAGAGGCCCTTAAAACCCACGTCCTATATTTATTCCTGTCCCTATATTCCTTCTTACCCTGCAGGGCTCCTGGCTGGGCTGATCCCTGCTGCATTGGGTCTGTGGGCCATAATTAGAGAGCCGATTCCCAAGGGAAAGCTACAGCATGACGAGATCAGACTTTCAGGGAGAAGATCTCTGAGCTGTGGCTCCCCCAGACACACCCCAAGCAGTGGCTGAGAGGATGGCTAACCTGCCTCAGGTCCCTAACGCTCAGAACACCAAGGCCAGGCAGGTCATTCACCGGGTGGGAGGATTAACTTAAAAACACAGAAGACAGTGAGGATGCAGTCAGGGCCCAAGGAAAGGCAGAAGTCTTTGTCAAGTTCTTTCTCATGCACAATGGCTCTCAAGATAATGAAAATGTGATATGAAATTCCTTCAAGATGACTGTCAAGAGCACATTCTAAGAGAAAAAAAAAAAAGGAAGGAAAGGAAAAGTCGAAGGGAAGGGAAAAGAAACAAAAGAATAAATGAAGAGAAAAAAGGAAAGAAAAAATGAGGGAGAAAGAGAAAGGAAGATAAGAATAGAAAAGTAAAAGAGTCTCTTTGCACAGTGATGGACGATGACGCTGGCCCTACAACCTGCAGTTTTAATTAAATAAGGCCCTGGAGAAACCAGGGGCCTTGGCCCTACCACGGGGACAACTGTCCCCATCCAACGCTCTGTGTGCACGTGTGGAGGGAGTGGTGGCCTGTTCTCTTCTTTTCCAGAATTAGAAGTACTGACGAAAGTACTTCCTCTCCTCTAACCGACATGCAAATTAAAATGAGGCTGCAGGATATTTTTAAAAAGGCAGAGAGGAAGGAACCTTTAATCAGATTTGAGAGCTCACCTCTACTATTCCTTCTTAGGCAAAAGCAGCAGCAAGATCCGAAAGAGAGCGGTGACTTCCATCCCCACCCGTGATCGGGACAGGGCCTCCCATTCCTGAGAGCCACCCCCTACACGTTCTGCTGCTTAGCTGTCCTTGCCAGCCTTCCCCTTCTTACATTCACTCACACCTGCCTCCCTTTCTCTCTGCCCTCATTTGCAAATTCCCAGCGCTGCCAGACCTCCCCTGGCCTCGCCTGCTCTCAGGGCCTCCTTACCAGCCTCAGTGGGCCCCACAGGGCGGCGGGAGCCCCCACCCAAGGCTGTCCCACGGTCCCGCCGGGTCAGTCTCTGCTCTGAGGAGCAAAGCCCTGGTCCTCCGCGCCCCTGCGCTGGCAGGCGCTGCTGAACAGGTGCAGGCTGTGACCCTCCGAGGGGCCAGATCACACTCTCCCGTACGGTGGAGGGCCCACGGGCAAAACCCCCCAAACTGCCGGGAATTCCCTGACACCGTACCTGTAATTATCTAAAATAAGCCAGTCTTTCCTCCCAAAATAACTGCATGTCTCCACAGAGGCACAACATACTGATTCCCAAACACGAAGTAATAACTTTTCTTAGTAATCCAGATGGTTTGCCCTCCTAATATATGGTTCCCCCCATCAGTAAAAGAGCAAATCATCCCTTTAAAATTCAGACAAAGCAAGAGACACCCTGACTGGTGTGGCTCAGCTGGTTGGGTGTCATCCCACAAAGTGAAAGGTCACTGGTTCAATTCCTGGTCAGGGCCCAGGCCTGGGTTGAGGGTTCAGTCCCCATTCAGTCAGGGTGTGCGAGAGGCAACCGATCGATGTTTCTCTTACACATCAATGTTTCTCTCCCTCTTTTTCTTCGTCCCTTCCCTCTCTAAAAATAAATAAATAAAACACTTTTTAAAAATAAAAAATAGGAAAAAAAATTCCAATAAAGCAGAGGCTCTAATGATAATCCCTGGGTCGAGGTTGCACCTGGAGAGCTATGGTTATAATTTCGCTACGGCCCTACAACCTCTGCCCAAGGAAAACAACCAACAGGCCAGAAATAGCTGCCCTCTCTGAAAAGGAAGGCCCCAGGAGCCTGGGGACACCCAGCGGCACGGTTCCAGCCTCCCAGGCCTCAACTGCTGAGGAAACAACACCGACACAAAGACGCTCCCCTTCCAACAGGAGCCGTGACAAAAGCACAGACAGCATCCAACAGCACCTGGCTGCGCCATGACACTTAATGACGGCTGAAAGTCAAAAGGCAGATGGCAACCTGGGAAATAGAAACACACACTCAACCTACCCCACAGCGCAAAGGACTAACCTCAAGTACAGTAAGAACTCCCGGAAATCAATAATAAAACAACTCCAAATCCGACAGAAAAAGGGCAAATGGCATGAACAGGGATGTCACAAAAAAGATAAAAATGAGCTTAAAGCAGGTTCAAAGATGTTCAAAATCATGCATAATAGGAAAAGGACAGCCCTGGCTGGTGTGGCTCAGTGGACTGAGCGCCGGCCTGCAAACCAAAGTGTCCCCAACTCGATTCCCAGTCAGGGCACAGGCCTGGGTTGTGGGCCAGACCCCCAGCTGAGGGTGTGTGAGAGGCAACCACGCCTGGATGTTTCTCTCCCTCTCTTCCCCCTCCCTTGCCCTTTCTCTAAAAATAAATAAAATCTTGGAAAAAAAGAAGTGCAGATTAAATCTACAGTGAGATACTATTTCTTTCCTAACATGCTAACCATTCAGAGAGGCACAGCTCTAGGATGTTGAAAGGATTGCAAAATTTGGGGCTTTCTAGAGAAAATTTGGCAATCTTTCCTGAAGTTACAATCTCAATGCTTCATCCACTGCAGACATATCAGTGCACAAAAGAGACATAAGTTCCTGCCTTTGTGGGGCTTTTAGTCTATAAAAGAGAAAGAAAAATAATAAGCATAATAATAGCATATTAAAATATGATAAATGTGCCCTGGCGGGTGTGACTCAGTGGACTGAGTGCCGGCCTGGGAACCCAAGGGTCGCTGGTTCGATTCCCAGTCGGGGCACAGGCCTGTGTTGCTGACCAGGTCCCCATTGTGGGGCACAAGACAGGCTACAACACACTGATGTTTCTCTCCCTCACTTTCTCCCTGTCTTCTCATCTCTAAAAATAAATAAATAAAATCTGTTTTTAAAAATGTGCTAAGTGCTATGCAAAAAAATGAATAGATCAGGTTCAGCAGACTGGGAATGGCAAGGGAGTAGTTGCAATTTTAAAAGATCCTTAGGATAGACCTCATTTAGGAGGGGTTATCTGAGCAGACTTGAATGAGGTAAGGAAGCAGAAACTACATCTTTAGTAAGAGCATTTTAGGCAGAGAAAATAATGAGTGCAGAGCGCTTCTAGTAGGAATGTACCCTGGCATTTAATCTGAGAGAAATGATATGCATATTAAAGGGTTCAAAGCAAAGGAACAACATGATCTGACCTGTTTTTAACAGGATCAGTGTGGCTCTGTGCTGAGAATTAGGGCAAGAGGGGAGGCAGAAAGGCCACCAGCGGCAGCAGCTGAGCAGTGAACCCAGCTCTATACGGAAGGTGGAGCCGGCAGGAGTCCTCAAAGCCTGAATGCCAAGCACGAAACAAACACGGCATGGAGGGTGACTCAACGTTTTTAGAATGAGCAAGGAGAAACTGAAAGCAGCTGGATCTGATTTGCGGTGGTGAAGATCAAGGATTATTTTGGGAGATATCAAGTCTGCTAGGTGTGAACAGGCTGAACGACCCGCTGACCCAGCAAGTCTGCCCCTGGGAATCTGTTCCACACACTCGCCTGCACACGCGCAAACGCACGCACTCAAGGTCATGTACTGCGTCCTGGTAACAGTAAAAGAGCAGAAACAACAAAGACGAGAAACAACCATACTTTTAAAAACCCTGTTGATTTCACTTTCCTTCTCAGAAACCTAGAGTGGCTTCCCACTGCTTTCAGAATTCAGCCCAAGTTCCTTTTTCAAGCAGCACAGATTCTGACACAAACAGGCCCACCCAAGCTTTACCAGCACACGGAGCCCAAGCCCCACACCGTCCCCTCCCGCTCTGGGCTGGCTACCCCTGCACCCCTGCACACGGCTGCACCCAACCTGCTGCGTGTGTCCAGGTGCGGTCGCTGCCCCGCCCTCCGGAAAGAACACACCCCTCCTTGGCCTTCTCATGCCATGCCCGTGACTTCGGAGCTTTCATCACATGTGTTAGGTGCAAAAATGTCTTTCCTCACCTTCTAAACTGCAACCTCCTTACTAACTATTCATAAATTAGTCAACTTCATATACCCTAAAGCATATTTAGCATGTTTCGTATTCAGCAGGCATTCAAAAAACATGTTTGAACCAACAAATGAATTGATTTTATAGAGACAAATCCTCACTTCCAATAGGATGCTCAAAAAATGAAGGTCTTCACAAAGTCTTACACAGGCCGCACCTTTAAGATTCCCCAGTTCCCTGGAGAACGGAAATTGCAAAAGCTCTGCAGCCCCCTCACCAAGAACCATCCTCCCTCATCCACCCCAGCGCCTCTGTTTACACTCGCAGGTCTAGTTTCCGGGTCTCAGAAGTGTGCTTCCTGAACCAAACGCTTCATGCGTCAGGAGGGGCAGGCTCATCCTCTGTGAAAGAGCTAGAACTGAGAAAAGGAGGTTATAGAATTCAAATTTCTTAGATGACACGACTTACCAAGAAAAGGACTTCACATGTTCCTGAATCATGATCCAGGTCTGGCCAAAATCATCTGATTTCCACAGCTGCAAAAGACCAAAGGAAGAAGTGGTCAGGATGCAAGAACCACACCAGCCTGAATGGCACGGCCAGGCCCCCCCTGAAGTCCCCCCTTAAAAGGCACGTGGCCGGGAAGACAGGCACCAAGGCCCCGAGGAAACCAAGGGTGGGAGGGGAGAACCGACCCGCACCCTGCGCTTGGCTCCCAGGGTCAGAGTCTCGTAGAAACTGGGAGGAAAGCTGACGGCCTTGTTTTCCATTTACGATCATCAGAAGTTACGCTTTACTCAAGACTAGCCTTTGAATGACGGTAAAAAACAAAAGGATTACACTTGGCACTTCTCTCCTGGGAAGCATCCTTAAAAATGACAGCGGCCACGGTAATTAAAGTTAATGGCGAGAACACAGGCTATGTACAGAACCAAAAAGTACCGAAGAGAATCACTGAATACACAGGGTATGGCTATGAACAGTCAACTTGCAAAAGCCCCTCAATTTCCGGCGACAGTACCTGGGGGTCCCTCTTTCCCTGTATTAAGAAGCAGGAGACCAAAAACAACAAAAATCTACCTCCACTGGTAAACTGACCCGCCCAGAAGTGAGGGAGTAACTTCTGTTACTCACTAAGGCATCTGAAAGTAAACAGATCATGATTTGGATAAAACAACGTGCAAAGGAAAAGAACTGTTCCAAAGTTATTCTGAGCAAAGTAATTCAAAACTCATCATAAATCCAATCCTGCAGGATCTACAGGTTTCACAGGATTAAGCCAGAACAATACATTTTTTTTAATCCTTGCCCAAGGACATGCTCATTGACTTCAGAGAGATGGGAAGAGACAGAAAAAGGAAGAAACATGAATGTGAGAGAGAAACATCGATTGGTTGCCTCTCACCGGCACCCCAACCAGCGACCAAACCTGCCCCCGGGCCTGTGCCCTGACCGGAGCTGAACCTGCACCGCTGTGGTTCACAGGACGGCTCTGCACAGCAGCGAGGGCCAGATCAGTATTCTTGACTTTGCACGTTTCGACCCTGAAATGTAAATCCTACTAAGGCTCTCTCCCCCACATCGCTCACCTTTCCTTCAAATTTGGACTAAGGAGGAAAATACACACATTTATATTTTATGCACGTGCACCCATGCACACTAAAAAAGAATATTAATAGCAATGATAAATTCAAATAAATGGTAGACAACAGCAGTATGTTTAAGGCCGAGGACAGAAAAGGTACAACAGAAAGGTGACAGGTCCTGGCAGAGCTCAGACTCCGGACTTCCCACCTGGCTCGCTCTGATTCCTCTCCAAAGCCTAACAAAGGTGCGTCCGCACTGCCAAGGGCACCCTACTGAAGGAACAGGGCCTGCCAAGTGCTACATGTTGCTCTCTGGCTGCAGCGCAGACTGAAAGTGCTAGAGGATATATTATTTTTCCTCAGCCATGGTAGTGAAACAGCTACAAAGGCTAAGCCCGAGGGAGGAGGGAGGGGCCGGGAGGAGGTCATGCAGAGGACACAGAGTCCGCAAACAGAGCAGAACAGAAACCTCGAGGCGCGCGCCTGTGATCCGGAAACTCTCTTACCTGTTTGTTGGGGTGAGACCTGTCGTAGCCCAGGAGGAGGTTGGCGGCCTTACTGTGCAGAAGGAGATCCGCTGCCCGGAAGGGGATGGAGAAGCCTCGGATGGTGCTGCAGAAGTCAAACGTGATCCAGAGGTACTGGGCATACGCGTCTACAAAGATGTACTGCAAGAGAGAAGAGGTGCGCTCAGAGCAGGACCTGCCCAGAGCCCACCAAGTCCCTCGCGCAGAGTCTGGGTGCATGTGCCTGCAGGGGCCAGCCCGCGCAGTCGGGGCCAAGGGCCCGCCAGGTGTCCCCACGACGCTCTCGTCATCTGCCAGTGAGGACGTGACGCCAGTGCACACCAGACAAGGTCAGCGAAGCAGGGGCTGCGTCACGGGCTGGCGGGGAGCCAGACGGAGCCCCTGTCTCTCCAGGTCATGAAGCTGGTCAAGCCTGTTTTTTCTTTCAAATGTCTTAGCTGTGCTCACTTCCTGGTGAGTTGCTTGGTCACAATCGAGAGGTGGCTACTGAATGCTGGGACACAGAAGTCCTGCTCTCCAGGCTGGCCGCACAGATGGACTACTGTGTATCTTCTGACACACCCTCCAAGGAAAATCCCTAAAACCACATCCACTGAGGAAAATTAGCTTCACGCCCTCCCTACTATGCCAGGTGATCGGGAGCCTAAGAACCAGGCCGCCCAGGGCCCGGCAGCCTCGGGCGCCTGCCCCAGCCCCGGCACAGCAGGAAGCAGCTCTGTCCAGCGAGGGCCTCACCTCACTTTTGTCTGCGCGGTTCAGTGACAACTTTCAATACGTTTAGCTAGAGAACGACCGCCAGCCGTTCTGAGGGGAAAGGATGGAGGCAGCTCAGTCTAACGCATGTGCACTTGGGGCTGCCACCGAGAAAACGCAGGGTCCTTCCCCGAAGCAGCTGAGGCAGAGAATGTGGGGGGAAGGTGTGTCCACAGTGAACGACAGTTCAAGGGAACGTGAGATCAGGTGAGAAGCCACGGTCAGTCCTGTGAAAGCAAAGACCACAGACAAGCCACGCTCGGGGGTCCGACATGACGGCAAGCAAGACTGCCACGGGAAAGGGCATTCCAAGCCCAGTCTGAGCGGGGAACCAAAGGAGGGAAGCAGTACAGCCCGGGACTGGCGGCGGCTCTTGAGAGCCTGAGGGGGAATGAGAACACGAGGCTGAAGAGCACAGAGGACAGCAGGCCCCGAAAGCCCTCTGAGGTCTCCTGGACAGTCCCTGCTCCCAGAAGGACGGCGGGGCGGGGCGGGGCGGGGGCTCCCGAAGCAGCCTGCTGGGCACAGGGAACCAGAAAGCGGAGCCGGGGAACCGTCGCTGAGACCCTAGCCATCAGCAGCCACGCGGGCGCAGTCCCAAGCTGACTCCCCCCGATTGGATCGGAGCGAGCTCCAGCCCCGAGCCCTCACTGTGCACTTGTCCGCCTGCTGCTTTCACACGTTCTCGCTCCTGCCCCTGCGCACGCTCTCCCCCGAAATCTAGACTGTGAACTCCCCAGGAAGACACTCTATGTGTTCTTGCTCTTGTGTTGCCTCCTCCACAGCATCTAATGTAAAACCCCAATCTCCATAGAAGCCTAAGTAAAACTAACTCTAAAACGTAGTAACTGTTTGGAAAGAAAAACCATTCTAAGCAAACACAATGTCATAATACCAATTGTGAGCCTACGAGCACCATTGCAGGTTTTCGCATGGAAGTGTCCCCTAGAAATAACTTAGCCTGTTCTGCTCTGAAACCACTGTGATTGCTGGGAGAGAGTTCTAAGTTTGAAAAGAAACCCATCCCATGGCTTCCTGCAGTTCCCCATTTTAGAATCTAAAAATCATGCCCCCAGTCACAGAACATTTTCCTGCGCAGGACAACAACTACCATTTTTCAACAGCCTTTGCTGTGTGCCAGGCACTGGGCGACGCTTTGCGTGCCTAACCTCATTCAGTGCACTCGGCACTCACAGCAACGCACTGCTTAGCTGTTACCCTTATCTCCTCCTTGACTAACGAGGCTCCTGAAGCTCAGGGAGGTAAGTGCCCACGGTGACCCCGGAGCAGGCAGCGTTCACACGGACGTCTGGCTGGTTCAAAGTGCATCTCTAATGGTTCATCAACTGTTACCTCTTTTCTTCCCATAAAAGGGCAGCATTTAATTCATGGCCTCTCTCAATTCACTGCCTTTCCTAGAAACTCTCCCCTCTCGTCTTCTGCAGCATGGTCCCCGCTGCACCATCGCCCACCCCCGGCCCCCTCGGTCCCCGACTCTCTTTGGCTGGCTCTTCTGTTCTGGCCCGTGCCTTATCCTTGCGTAAGTGCGCCACTCTGCCCTCCCCGGCCGAGAACTCGGTGCATCCCTCGGCACAGCTCCAGCGACTGCCCCCGAGGACAGGCGCTTCCGCAGCCTTCACAGGGACCGCCTCCCCGTGACGGCTCCCTGCGAGTCCAGGGTCCCTGCTTCTTTATCTCCGCCTCTCCGCCTTGACGTCAAGATACTTCACCCCGTCCAAAACTGAATTCTTTGACACCTTTCCAGCAAAACCCAGCTGCCTCTCCCTCCCCGTGCGCCACACCCCATCCACACGGCACCTTCTCCCAGCCCCACTCCGCCAATGCCTCTCCAAAGCTTCCCTTCGATCCATCCTGCGTTTTTCCAAGGACACACATTTCCCCGAAGAGACGCTACACAACTCCCTCCTCAAAGACTCCTCCAGCTCCCCGCAGTCTCCAAAGCAAAAGCAAGCTCCTGCCGCTGCACAACGGGGGGGCCCCAGGACCGACGCAGCCCTGCCGGCGCAGAGCCCACACACCCCCTCGACGCCTCCGCACACGCCTCTCCCCTCCGCCAGGGCCCCCACCGGCTCTGCCCCAGGCGCTGGCTTCTTGCTTGTGCTGGAGCCGCATTTCCAAGTCCAAACTCCCCGTACGGGCTTCGCTTCCCTGCTCTAGCCTCACCCGACCCCCCAGCGCCAGCTGCCTGCGGGTTCCAGTTCACCCCTCGGCCCCGCGTCGCTTCAACGCGGTGGGCAGCCGTGCCACACGTGCACGTACGGAACAGCCAGAGTGCCCCTCTCTGCCTTCACGTTCCTGCACTTCCCTGGCGGCAAGCCTCCACAAGCCGACCCCACAGTCTGCCGGCAGAGCTGACCTACAAGGCACTTTCTAAACGAGGCAATTTCAGGAGTGTCCACACGTACCCGGGCCCTTCAACCCCGCCTGCCAACACATGATATTCCAGGGGAGCGTCATCCATTAGCTCAGCGCTGCTCCCTCCGAGGATACCAGCGCCTCTGGGAAGACAACACAATCAGCAGCAGAACAGACCCCTGAGCCAGCACCCGAGGCACCCTCCACTCAGAGTGCAGACAGCGCAGCACCGTGAGAGGAGGAAGGGCAGGGAAGGATGCAGGGACACACCTCTGGGAGGCGGGTCAAGGAAAGAGAGCGGACTCCTCACTTCGCCACTGAGGTCGGGGGCCCTGCCCTGCACGGGCTGTGGCCTTTCCAAAGAACCCGACGTATTCAGATGCCGCCTGACTGGGCAATGCGTCCAGGGGACTGCCAGGGGGCCCGGCGGCACCCCGGGTCAGCGGGCAGCACGCGGGCGGAGAAGGAGGAAGTGGGACTGCAGGCTGCGGCACAAACAGACCCACACGCCGCCATGGCGCACAGCCCCGCCATGAGCATCCCAAGGCAGAGGCGCCGAGCGAAGTGGGTCCCCTGGCCAGGCCCTGCTCCCCACACCCCCCGCCGGGAGCGCAGCCCCAGGCTTCACGGGCCCTTCCGTGACATCGCAGCTTTGCTGAGTGGACGCTGACAGTCATTTCAACCATTCCAAGTCCTGCTCCTTGAGAGCCCACCTGACATTTTATACAGGTGACCTGGCTGGGCCCAGTATCTTGCTGTTGTTGGCAAAGTACCGCCTTGTGTGATTCTTCTCAGGAAGTGGTAGGTCTGGTGGAACAACTGCCTTCCAAGGGACAAAGGCAAAAGCAACAGAGAGAGCAGTACAGTAAGAGCCACCATTTCCTTCCTGAGAAGCCTGGGAGGGGTCACAGTCTTCTCGGGGGAATTAGAACCTCAGCAGAGAAAGCTCCAGCGCGACCCAGGCCCAGGCCCTGACCCTCTGGCCACTAAGGTCTCCGGGGAGGCAGCCCCTCTTCCCGGGCACGGCCACCCGCGCCCTGAGAGGTCTGAGGGGGGCTCTCCCCACGGCAGGCCAGCCCCGCGGCTGTCGGCCGACCGCCCTCTTCTCCCCTCGCAGCACCGGGGACCCCTCCCCGTTCTCCTTCCTCACCCCAGCATCGCGGCCCCACCCTGCTCTTTCTCCAGACCTAAAGCTCCAAAAACCCCTGACCCTCTCCCTGCACGGAACCTCCCACTCAAAGCCCACACCACCGTCTTTGCTGTCTGACTCCTCGAACACGCAGGCTCGGCGGTGCCCCCCCCGCCGAGCCCATGCCAGGGAGGGAATGTGGGCCCCTGTTCGGACCTCTGTGCCCTGTGGCCGGACGTGCAGGGAGGAGGCGGCGCTGAAACGCAGGCTGCAGAGAGACTCTGCGGTGGCTTTGGGCCACAGCTTAAGCATGTGAGCTCTGGGACCATGTGTAAAAATAACCACAGCAGATAGGTACAACCTGACCAACCGAGTAACCCAAGTGCTACTTGGTTCGTGGGAGGCGGGACACACAGGCCTATCCTCGGGGAGAGGGAGCACGGGCAGCCAGCTGGGCCCCGGGCAGGGCTCCTCACCTCCCGAGAGGTACCTGCGAGCCCCAGGTGCCGGGCCAGCCTGGCCCCAGGGGGACGTGGGGGCGGCACAGAGGGCCACGTCCCCAGCACCCTTTCCTTGCTTGCCACCACAGGGAGAGGAACGGCTCCGTCACCTGGAGCGGGGTGAGAGGCGAGCGTGTCCCTCACTGCCGCTGCACTGAGAGATGGGGACGCAGGGCTGGCAGGCCGCCAGCCTGGAACGGGGACGGCCATTCCAGTTCAGCAACACTGCTTCCGGGCCCCACGTCCCTAAAACCCACGCGGGGTCACAAAGCTTTTGCTGCTAAGGACTTTTCTGCATCCTTGGAAGCGGCCACCCTGCCCTGGCGACCGGCCGGGGACCAGGTGGGTGGGGGCAAGAGCAGCCACGCGCCCCTGCCCTGCTGGAGCCCAGCTCCCTCAGCGGAGGGTCCCTGCCGGGCTCGCCCCTGCGCCCCGGCCTGCTCCTTCCTCCAGGTCCAGCTGCAGGTTTTCTTGCAGGAACCAGCCCGCCCGCCGCTGGGAGGACGCGCTGCCTGGCATCCTCCTCGTACCAATGCAGGCTGCACAGAGGAGGGCACACACACGTGCACGCACACGCACACGCCCAAGGACACGTGCACAGGGACCCACGAGTGCTGCTGCAAGGTCAGCAGCCGCCCGGGAAGACTGCAGGACAGGTCCCTGAGGACACAAGGTAGCATGTTTGCCGTCTCTGAGCCGAGCAAGCTGTTCGCGGGCAGGCTTTCTGTGCTTTCACCGGCCGCAGCGTGTCTGGGAGCCCAGCCCGGCAGCCCTGGCCGGCTCGAGGACGTGCGGCTTCCCTCTGTGAGCCGCACTGTGTCACAGACTCCCAGGGCGACAGGGATACGGTCACTGGTGACCCGTCATGCTACCAGATGACACAGCACTCCCAGCCCCCGTGTGCCACCCTCTTCCCAAGCACGGCCCCATGAAATCACCCCAGTGGCACGGCTGCGTCCTTACCCGCTTGTTGTCTGCAGGACTGTGGTAGAACTGGGCGATCACAGCTTCACTGCTGTTCCCCACACCAAAGTTAAACTTCTCCGAAATTTTCTGAAACGATTTTCCATAGTCATAAGACACGTACACCTGGAATATGGAGGAGGGGAGGAAAAAGGAAAGGGTTGGTAAGAAATGTGGCCGAAAGGCCTGTCACCTTCCAACGCCTGCCTAGAGCCTGAACGCGGCTTCCAGCAGGTGCCGGGTATGAAGAGCTGGCCCAGAGAGCAGCAGAGGCAGCGCAGCTGCCGGTCCTGCACGCGGGGCCTGAGCAACGCTGCCCCCGGCGCGCAGGCCTCTGCCGAGGACGGCACCCGGGTGGGACGTGACCACCTCCTCCCCTCGGCGGCGGAGGCCAGGGTCTGACAGCTCACAGCCGGGGGCCGACAGAATGGGGAGGGCCCGGAGGTCTGAGGGGACAGGATCGAGAACCTGTTTTGCCCTCTGTTGCAATGTCTGCAAAAGGCAATCTAAATCCTCATCCCTGTGCTGGGGAGTTCTGTCCTCACAGCATCCCAGAAGGCAGAAAAGGAAAACCCCCGTGGGGGCCCTGACTGGTGTGGCTCCGTTGCTTGAGGGCCATCTGCACAGCAAAAGGTTGCTGGTTCAATTCCTGGTCAGGGCACACGCCCAGGTTGCAGGTTCCGTCCCCACTGTGGGCACACGTATGAGAGACAAACAATCCATGTTTCTCTCGCATCGATGTTTCTCTCCCTCTCTTGCTCCCTCCCTTCCCCTCTCTAAAATAAAATCTTTTGTAAAAATCCTTGTGGGCCTCCACAGAGTAGCCCAAAAGATAGAAAAGCTAAAGTGCTGAGACATTAAATATGCACAGAGGTGAAACACATGGGTACCAGCACCCTCCCCGCTCTCCTGCCCTCTGACCCTGCGCTCTGGGAGGTCCTGAGCAGGCAGAGCTGCAGCAGGCCCACGCACCTCCCGCCTGCCCCCGTCCCCGGGGTCCCGGGATCCCGGGGTCCCCGGGGTCCCCAGGCTCTGGCTACGCTGCATCCACCGTCACAAAGCCTGGGCAGGCCTGCCGTTGCCTGAGTGCTCACCAGGTGCCAGATCCCGTTCCAGGGCCTCGAAACGTGAGCTCAGGGGACACCCGCCACAGCTCGTGGTGGCACGTGCAAGTGTGAAAATCATCTTGAGAGAAGACAGCAGGGGCTTATGAGATTAGCTACCTGCCAAAGCCACCCAGCTGGTAAGCAGCTCTGCGGCACTCGGACCCAGGCTGCCGCCTGCAGAGCCAAAACTCCGAGAGCCAGGACGCCTCAGGGGGAGGGTGCTAGAATGGGAGCTGTCCGATATTTTGTGCCTAGACTTTACTGCCTGTGCAACGTGAGATGTAATTAATATAATCAGAGGGTTAAAAACAAGTCTGATAGATGAACAGAATATGAATAACAGCTTAGTGAGGATTGGGTAAGCACTAAAGAAAGATGAACTCCAAGACAAATGGAAGCCACTAGACCCCTAGACTACTCCCAGGAGGCGGACTGCCTTCGCGGCCCTGCCTTGAGGGCTTTCTGTAAGCCAGGCACTGCGCCAGGCACCAGACATCCGCGATGTGGCCTTTGGGCACAACCTAAGAGAGGAAGCTCACTTCAGGGTAACATTTCTCAGGACACAGTGCTCTTTTGTCTACACTACATCTCTTCATCTTCAGAAACTGTGAGTCATTGTCACCTGGCCTCCGTCAGTACCAGGACCGCGGCAGCTCCTCAGTGAAGGCGTCTGGGGTGAATAAACACACAGTCAACCACGAAGCAAGTAGGTGAATGGGCTCCACAATGAAGGAAAGAGCAAAACCAATGAATCGGTAGGTGACCCAGTGAAAAACTTAAGAGATGATAAAAACTAAGCCTCAAAGAAGTGAACGACCAGCCCAAGGTCATACAGCACGTATGTAACAAAACTGCTTTGACAGGTTCCTCCAGTTCCAAGTCCAGCTGTCTTTCCACCCCTGCAGGCAAGCAGGCCTTCTAGGAGACGCTGCCTGCGTGCGGCCACACTTCTCTGCTGAAGAGGAAGGCCCCGCCAGACCTGCGGGCCAGGCTGGGGGAGGACCGCTGGCCAGCAGCCGCGAGGCCGCCTCTCGCACATCCAGAGCCAGCCGGGGAGCCTCCCCCTGCCCCTGCGGCCCTTCCCACGGGAGGGACAGCAGTGCTCACACCAGAGATCTCCGCCCTAAACGACACCCTCTCTTGGGATCGCTTACTTAATGGAAGTCAAGAGTAAGTATGCAAATACCATAGAATTTCCTTTGTAGAATCTAACGAACAACAAAAAAGAAAAGAACAGCCTCACAGATGCAGAGAACAGACTGACAGCTGTCTGAGGGGACGAGGCCAGGGGAGCTGGCGGAAAAGGGGCAGGGCTAAGAAGAAGAGCCAACCCTGGCTGGCGCGGCTCAGCGCGCTGAGTGCTGGCCTGGGAACCCGAGGGTCGCCGCTGCGATCCCGGCCGCGGCCCGGGCCCCCGTGGGGGGCGGGTGAGAGGCAGCCACGCGGTGTTTCCCTCCCTTTCTCCCTCCCTTCCTGTCTCTCTAGAAATAAATAAATAAATAATTTTTTAAAAGAAAAAAACCTAAGAGACAACAATAGGGCGAGGACCAGAGGGAAAGGAGGCTGCAGGGAGGAAGAGGAGGGTAAAGGGGGATCAATGGTGATGGAAGGGGACTTGACCGAGGCTGGTGGGCACACAGCACAGTGTACAGGTGATGGTTTATAGAACTGCACACCTGAAACCTACCTATTAACCAACATGAGCTGGTACATTCAATTAAAAACAATTTTTTTAAAAAGTTAAGTATGTAAAGGTCCATCCTCCACCCAAAGGTTCTCAAATTGCTCACGAACCTTCCTTTCTTCCCCAGGTTAAACAATTCTGACACACTTTATCCTACCCTCATGGTTCTTATTTCTATGTGACTGACACAGACCCTGAGCTTAAGGACGAAGGCCACACTCAGGGCTGTGCCCGCGGCCCACGCTCCCCCCCCCCCACAGTGCCAGCGGCGGCGGGTGGGCGGCTCCGCACTGCGCCCCTCCCTGCCCGCCCCCCGCCCCGCCCCCCGCCCCGCCCCACTCTGGCTGGCCCGCCTCTCCTCCGCGGCAGCCCAGGACCATGCCCCGGCCCCAGGCCGGCTGGGGGTGCGGGCCAGCACCCTGCCCTGGGGTACCTGTCTGCACTAATTAGCCCTCGCTCACCCCCCTGTGACACTGCTCCCTGAAGAACAAATGGCAGGGGGAGGAGCTCCTGAGCTGCCGAAAGCTGCTACCGACAAAGGCAACTCCCTCGAAGTGAATGATTTCAAGTTATTCTCTCTGTATTTCAAAACCATGTAATGATATCGGGGAGAAGGAAGAGTGGAAAGAGGAGAAGGGATGAGCGGGAGACAAAAGGAAAGGATGGGGGAGGGGGGTTACAATGTACAGAAACCATCTCCTGCCTGGCCCTACTCCAGGTGCGTCTGTGCCTGGGCAACCGTCGAACGCCTGCGCGCCGCCCCGCAGGACACTGGTCCCAGGGAGCCCGGGGCGGGGCCTGAGACTCTGCACTGCTCACCGGCCCCCGGAGAACACCCATGGTGCTGGCCCATGCACTTCAGGAAGCAAGGTTTTCACAAGTACTTTCTCCCTGGCAGATAAGAAGACCAAGAGGAGGTTACGGGATTGGCCTGAGGCCGGACCGCTGAAGACCGGCACAGCCAAGGCTCAGACCCAGGCGCCGTGATTTCAGAGCTGGTGCCCAGCCAGAGAGCACGTGCCAGGCCACCACGGTCTGCGCCGGCAGTGAGCGCAGCAGGTCCTGGAAGGGTGTCACCGCGTGCAATGCTCAGTACTGTCTCATTATGACGTTGATGTGACGCCCTAGCAACTTGTTTGTATCAATTTTTCAATGGCAAAACTGGTCTCATTATACGTGTTTTGCTTAAGGTTGCAGAACCCACCAACACCATTAAGGAGGACCCGTGTACTGGTCCCGCCTCCCAGTCGACCCCGAGGGGCACCGGCCATGCTGTCTCGCCACTCTGGGAACACAGGCGGCAGGCCCCACGGTTTCTGACACGCCCCCTGGTGGACTCTGAACGTGTGGTGGGCACTATCTCTGGACAGCAATACGGCCAACTATGTTGCATCTGAGTTCTTTGCACAATAGGAGAGAACAGAAACAAAGAGGTGCGTGGGAAGGTCAAGATAAACAACACCCCTTGTTTCTCTGCACCCACCAGACCCGTCACAGGGGACGAGCGGTGCCGCAGGAGCCGCCGTTCACAGAGTCCCGCGTGGCACGCGTTCATGAGGACACGGTTCGTTCACTTCTTTTCCGGATTTGCTAGCAAACCTTCCAGATTCCAGCTTCCAGGCCCATCCTCCCCCCGACAATGAAGAGCCATGAGCTGGCCAGTGCCCAACCCTCGCAGTTCCTAGTTTGCGTGACTTCTTTCCCATCTGAACTGCGGGTGGGCCCCACAACCCGGTCCTCTTTAAAGACAATGTTATTGCTCCTACTCCAACACAGCAACTCCTGCCTGAGTCATGATTTATTTTTGCACTCACTCTTCACATCAGAACATCTCAGCTTCATCGGCCAATTTTTAATGCAGCTTAGGCAGGCGGGGGACACCCCTGCCATCTTATTTATTACCTCTAAGCATCACATCTCCTTTCCATTCAATCTGACGTCTGCACCGCTCCAGAACAGTGTCTTACTTCAAGTGTCCAACGGTCCCTCCGAACCACACCCAGATATTTGGACAGAGGAAGAACTGGGTTTGGGTGGACTGGCAGCACCAAGGGGGCCCACCATCCTGGTTCCTCCTGGACTGAGGGTGGTCCCGAGATGTGGGTCTTCCAGTGCTGAAGCCCAGGCAAGCTGGTCGCCCTGGCAACACTGCATCCTCACACTGGCCTTAAGTGTCATTGGCTCCAGCTCTCCCACAGACATGCTACATGACCTTGTGCTCGTCTCCTGTTTCTCCCGCAAAACCGGAAACAATTGTCACGGTCTTTACCTATCTCACAAAAAGAACATTACTGGGCAAATAATTTTGGGATGCATAAAAACCCTAAGGAGGATTTTCTCACCAGAGTGGGGCACAGAGCCACCTCCTGTGTTCACAAGGGACGCCTACAGGCAGCGACCACGCGGAACACACGCCGGGGCCCACGGACTCTCGCGGGGCCCGTGGGCACCCAGGCGCTGCCAATCCTAACGGCATCTAAGCCGGGCTAAAGGCACTGCCCCTCAGAAGCCGGGCCCTGCTTGCGGTCACGCCCCCACTGTGGCCCTCAGGCGCGGCAGCCCAGTGGGTGCGGGCGGCCTTGCTGCTGCTCGGCGCCCGCCAGGGCGGAGCTGTGCTTCAGCACGAGCAGTCCCTTTTCTGCACGCAGCACACAGCTCCCCTGATTCAGTCACCTGCCCAGAGCACATTCAATTCAAGGAGCCGACACAGAGGGACCTCCCAGGGATCACATCCATACTCACGAACGACAACTGCGTCCTTAGGCCGATGTGGCAGGAGGCTTCCTCTGGCCGGAGCACAGACTAACCAAAGCTCCATGACCTGCTCTTCTGTGCACAGCTTCACCCTGTCACCACGTCAGACCCTGACCCACGGCAGGGACAGCTCCCCTTCCCTACGCGGGGCCGTCGGGAGCGCAGGCCGAAGACAAGCCCAAGGCCAGCTCTGGCCCTGGTGTGCTTTACTTGGCTCCCACATAGTATGTAAAAACTGCATGTTAGCTGCCAACTTGTAAGAATCAGCAGTTTTCACATAAAAATCCAGATCTCTGTGCTTCTCTTGAAAAATAAGAAGATTTGGCAACACCGGGCCCTGCTTCCTGCTAGGCAGCCCGAGCTGAGAGCCAGGGGCAGCGAGCCCCTCAGAGGTGCTCGTCCCCCAGGTCGCAAAGCCCTCCCCAACGCTGCGCGTCTCTCCGACACTGAGACCAAGTGCCAATCCCCAAGTTCACACTAAGACACCAGTGAGGGGTTCCCGAACCTGTACCTCTATTAAAAGTGGAAAAATAGCATACTGTCCCAGAGGGCCATGTACTTCAGAAAAACGGAAAAGCCCCTTATTTGTGGAGGTGAAGAGCACTGCAGCCTTGGAGGCGGCTTCACTCCTGCCCACTGCCCCCCGCCCCTCACAGGCCTTCAAGGACGTGGCCCTTGGCCTCAGGTCTTCCGAGCACCTGAACTACCACACACTGCACGAGCTCACTGTTGAAATTAAGAACATGAGCAATTCCACCCTGGCTGGTGTGGCTCAGTGGGTTGGGCGCTGTCTGCAAATGCAAAGGGAGCAGGTTTCGATTCCAGCCAGGGCACAGGCCTGGGCTGGGGGCTCGTCTCCGGCTGGGACTGTGTGGGAGGCAACTGGTGGATATTTCTCTCCCTCTCTGTCTCCTTCCCTTCCCCTCTCTCTAAAAATAAATGAGATCTTAAAAAAAAAAAAGCGCCTGAGGAAACCTGGCTGAACCATTCACCCTGTTGTAAGGTGCCCGCAGAAATGGGCATGTGCGGGGCCCTGCGGCCCTGCCAGGCTCGGAGCGGACGGGCAGCTCTGCCCAGCACGGTGCTTCCGGCATTTTGCTGAGCAAATACATCCCCTCATATTGAGCCCCATCACTTCACACAGGTGAGCACACGGCGCACGGCTCTGCCGGCCACTGACTGCACGGCCCCGTGCTCAGCAAGCAGGCGGCACTGACCGCCTCCTGGGTCCTGCTGTTAGGCAGCCCGTGCCACGCACGCCCAGGGGGGCCCCGGGAGGGAGGGTCAGAGAGCACAGGCAGCACAGAGGCCTGCCCAGGGAGACGCCGATACTTACGTCACTGCTCCTGGGTCTTGCCAGCGCCAGGCTGTCTCGGGCTAAGGCCACAATCACGTTGCTTTTCTCTCCAGCCCAGTGCACCACCATCTGGTTGTGGGAATCATTCAGACTAACCTGCAAGAGAGAAAACCAGCACAGACATTAGGACCCATGACAAGGGATGGCCATAAACATCCTCACACAAGACTCTCTCCGCCTGTCGCTCAGAAACGACGAAGAGGCTTAAATCTGGAGCAAGGGCTGGGCAGCCTATTTCTCCTCCTAGTCAGAGCCCATCAGACTCCACTTCCCCAAGAGGGAGCACCAGTCCTCTGCTACTTCAAATGTGACAGGACCGCAAAACGCCTTCTCAGGCTCTCGCTGGCAGAGCCCATTACGTCGCCTTCTTCTGTCCTTTGTGAAATCGGCCTCTTGTTCCCCTCATCCTCACTGCAGACACGGGACATGCGCTCCCAAATGGAAACATCTTCCTCATTCAAAAGAGTGCGAGGGGTCTCTCTGCGACCCCGCGCCAACGGGAAGGGCCCCGCGCCCCCGCTCTGCGCCCACGCTCGCCTTCCCTGCCCCCCTGCGGCAGCGGCATCCTTAGCTCAGAGCAAGGAAGAGTGAGAGGAAAATACCAGTGAAACAGCAGCTTTATTCAGTTAGCTTTGAAGTGTCCCAAATAAGGAAATATTTTCTAGGCCTCCAAAGAAACGGCCTTTGGATTTTTGTTAGCAGTAGCTCCCATGCCTCTGAATTTTGTAAACCAGTAAAATAAAAACAAATTAGAAAGGCCAACAGGAGATTGGTGGGCCACTTTCTTTTTCGCCAGGTAGGAACAAAAACAGCCACTGCGTCTGGCGTGACTCATCTGTCCCCTGAATCTGCGTCCCCTGGGCCCAGGCTGCTGCGCGGTGGGGTGTGACCTGGGTCTGTGCTGCCGTGCCAGCCCCTGGAATGTGCCAGAAGGCCTCAGGAACCCCAGCCCCCCGCTCCTCCACAGCCCCGGCTTCTTCCCGTCCGAAAGCTGCCTGCAGGCCCTGGAGTCCAGAGAGCAGAACGGGGGGGGGGGGGGGGGGGGCCTGAAGAGAGAGCCCTGGGCTCGCTTTCCTATTCCCCTAATGGGAGATGGGTGCACACCTGGGAGCTCCTGGGATTTGTCTGTTATGTTCCTAACCCCCGAGGCAACTGGACCACCTTCTATAATCACTATCATTTTTTAAAGAAAGGGCATTTTAATACTGAAACCTGAAGAAACCTACAATCTCAGAATAAAGAACAGTTCTTTTAGATGGTTGTTGCTTATGAAAAACTAGCCACATCACTTTTGCTTTTCCTGTTTCACTGGTCCCTGGTGGCAGCTCAGGGCTGCCATGGAGAACACCTGAGCCAGAGGTTTCCCGTCCCCTGGACCTTGCTGTGAGAACAAGCCAACCACCAGGCCCACCCACACGGATGGCTGGAATTCACACTCGAGGTCAGCACAGAGGTCCAGGGCGCGAGCACGGCGTGCGCTCGCCTCCTCCGCCGCTCGGCTCAGGCGGAGGAAAGGAAAGGCGCTCCGGGGCTCTGAGCCCTGCCCCGCCCAGCCTGCGCGCCTGCCACCACCTGCCTGGCGGGGGCAAACCGCAGGCCCGCTGCGCCGGCCTCCCCAGCCCTCTTCCTGCCGAGGCTCTGCAGCAGAACCACCCTCCCCCGGCCTCTCCCCCTTCCCCTTCTCACCCCTCCGCCCTGCTCCCCGCCCACGGCTTGAGATGCTTTCAGATACCACAGGGGGAGGGAAACGCCGGTGCCCAACCCTGGCGGACCACGACGCAGGGGCTGATCCTGAGCTGCTCGGCTTCGGGTCTTAGGCTCCTGCCCCAAATGTGGTCCTGGATCCGAACTCTTGGAAAATATTTGAAGTGACACCTTTTTAAAGAAAAGATCCTTCACATTTTTTAGGAAAATAGGTCAATCCCAAAATGTCCCATCTCAGATAAGTCCAGGCAAGCATCAACAGAGAACCCTAAATAAAAAAACATAAGTAAGTAGCCTTATGACCCAGTGATTTCACTTCTAGGGATTTATCTGAAGAAAGAATATATGCACCCTTCTGTTCAGTGCAGCGTTATTTATTTAAAGATGTTTATTTCTTTATTTTTTTAGAGAGAGGGGAAGGGAGGGAGAAAGAGACAGAGAGAAACATCAATGCAAGAGAGAAATACCAATCAAGTTACCTCTGGGAAGCACCCCCACCAGCGACTGACCCCGCCACCCAGGTGCGTGCCCCGACCGGGACTCCAACCGGCGACCTTAATGCAGCTCTGCGGGATGACCCCAGCTGACTGAGCCGCACCAGCCCGGGCTGCGGCATTGTTTATTTACAGTCGCCAAGGAACGGCAGCAACCCAAGCGCCCATCAACCGACGAGGGAATAAAACAGCTGTGGCACATACATGCAATGGAATACTACTCGGCCATAAAAAGAATGAAATCTTTCCATTTGTGACAGCATGGGTGGGCCCCCTAGAGAGTATGGTGCTGACTGAAATGTCACTCAGAGAAAGACAAATACTGTCAGATTTCACTTCTATGTGGAATCTAAAGAACAAAATAAACAAAATTGCACAGACTCAGGATGTAGAGAGCGAGCTGACGGTGGCCAGAGGGAGGGGGTTGGGCGCTGGGTGAAGAGGGGAAGGGATTAGGAAGTACAGGTGGGTGGTTACAAAACAGCCGCAGGGGCGTCAGGCACAGCAGAGGGAAGGCAGCCGGTAACACTGCGACCACTGCGTGCGGCGCCCGCTGAGGCCCGAGACGCACTGAGGGAAACACTGCGTAAAGTACATGATTGTCTAATGACTAAGCTGCACACCCAAAACCAAGACATAATGTAAAAAAAGGAAAGTAAAGGAGTTGACCCAGAATGCCACAGGAGAAAGGGGCCAAGGGGCACTCCACCAGCCTCGGCCGCCTCACCGCAGCCCTTCCCTCCCCCCACCCCCTCCTCCGGGGAGAATCCGGAGGCGCTGCACCCACAGAGGGGCCCTGAGATTTCAGACCCAAAGCCTTCTCCCCGCCAAAAACATCCTCACCCTTAGAACCAGAGAGGAATAAACTACAGAAGTTACGCAAACGTCAATGCAGTAAAGGATCAGAACCTGGAACAACCGTCCGAGGTCATCGGGGGTCCGGGACGACAAAGCCCACCAATATTCCTCTTAACAGTCCCTCTGGCAAGTAACAGGGCACTCGTTCTCTGCCCAGGTGCAAAGCCTTCGGTGATCAGAGCGGGAAAGAGGTCTGAACACCATGTGCGGAAGCCTTCTTTCTGCTCAGGGAACAGGGTTTACGAGGCCCCTCAACCAATCCTGAGAGAGGGGGAGGGGAGAGAGCGGCACAGAGAAGCTGCAAGGGCATTTTACAAAGTAGCCTAGAAGGTGAGCTTGGTGGAACACCTCAAAAAATTGACGTTTTTATTTTATCAGATGGCCCTTTTCTTCCTAATGTGCAGGCTGTAAAAGGGAAGCCCAGTGGAGAAAAAACCTCCCTGGCAAGAAATGGCATGTCCCAGGGCCACCAGGCAACTCTCACAGACAGCGGAGCCCCTCCAGGCGGCACAATGCCAGCCCAGCACGTCCAGGTCCTGGGAGGGTCCTTGGCTGTGTCATCACTAATCCTCCACGTGGCCCAGGTGGCCCAGATGGCCCCCTCCCCGGCGTGAGCGCAGAGTCGCTGGGAACCCGGGCCCCCTGAAGACGAGGACATGGGGCCGGAGGGCGGGCCAGCAGGCCGGCCACTTCATCATTGGGAAGATGTGCATTCTGTCCTCTGGCCTCACCTTCCTCTTCTCTGTCTCTCTGTCTCCAGTCGCACGCCCCTGCCCCCCCACCAACAGGAAAGAGGGGGGAGAGATGGCTGGCTCCCCACGGAGAGTGACCAGGACACCAGAGGCCTGGGCGGCCACCAGCCCCCAGGGGCACGGCAGACCTCGGGCGGGTCCCTGCCCTGCACGGGTGGCCTCAGCTGGTCTGAGTCCTCCCCCCACCCCCAGGGATGGGCCCGTCGGCCACTGGGGGCCCCCAGGCCCCTCCCATCCGCCCTGCTCACTGAGGTCCGAGGCAGGCGAGGGCACCGACGCAGACCCAGAAGCGCAGGCCTGGGAGGGGCAGCAGGGGTGGAAGGGCGGCTCTTCCAGGCACGTCCCTCGCGGTGAAGGCCCCAAGGGACCAGCGACTTCCCCCCCTTCCCTCTGGGAGCTCGGCTCCCGGCTCCCGGGGCAGCAGCGTGGCGGCGCTCTGACAGCAGCGGTGGGGCGCCTTCCCTCAGACGGCACAGGGAAACACCCCCACGAACAGCCAGCCGGCGGGAGGTGCTCAGGCTGCCAGGAGGCTCACAAGGAGGTGCTTAGGGGTCAAGATAAAGCCCCAGAGGTCAGCTGGTCCAGGGGCCCCCAACATGGCTGACAGAATCACCCCACTCCTGCTAATTCAGAATCCCTCGGACCAGAGCCCAGGACTCAGTATTTCTCAAAGATACACCCCCACCGCCATGTCCCCAACGCGGTTTATTTGGGGAGCAGTAAGTCTAGTCCATTCCCCTCCCTGCTGGCAGGACCTGGGACTTAAATGGCACTGGCTAGAGGACTGATTCCTTTGGGGGGAGCTGTCTTTGGGTAATTAGGGTAGGTGTTAAAACTCTATGACCTACTGATATACAAGGGAAACCTCAAAAACACTATGCTATTGAAATAAGTCAGACACAAAAGTTGTCTGTATTCTATGATACCACTTATAAGAAATGTCCAGAACGGGTAGATCCGCAGAGACAGAACGCGTACTGGTGGTTGCCAGAGGCTGTGGGGAGTAGGAATAACTTCAATGGCAAAGGGATTTATTTTATTTTGCAGTGATGAAATGGTTTGAAACTAGACAGAGGTGGTGGTTGCACAACATTGTGAATGTGCTAAATGCTAATGAATTGTGCACTTTTAAACGGTTGTTATGTGAAATTCAACTCTTTTTTTTTTAAAGGCTCTATGACCTATAGAGCACATTACACTCCCAAGTGCTGGTCCGGTACCTAGGCACTCCCGCTCTTAAGAATTGCTTCTTTCATCTCACTTGGATGCTTCATGCCACCCAAACAGG